AGCCTGATGCTTCTCCAAGGAGCTGAACACAAACACTGACCCTGACACAGGGAACTCAAAAAACTGAGGGTCTAAAGGTCTACAAATAAAGGCACAGTGAAGACACTGGGGCAGAGAGGAAGGAGAGGCTGCATTGCAGAAAATATGTAGTAAACTCTCACCCTCTTGCATTGTAATATCTTCCTGCAATGGCATCCTGTCTTTTTTATTTCTTCTAGTCCACCTGTGAAGACAAAGTGACATTTAATGTCTGAAGATTGCAGGATCAGTTGTTCATGTGTCAAGGCAACCAAACCACTCCAGGTTAAATAAGCTAAGCACCACAGTCATGGTAGGAAAGCCATCTGAAAACTTAAAGTGAAAAAAAAATCCCACAATTGAAAAGAATCCACCACCAACTGAGCATATTTTCCACAGATATTGGCTCATTATGGTGCTGAGATTCCTTTTGTTGTCCTTGGATGTTCCTTCCCTCTCCCCTCATCTGCTTGCCTGTCTCTGTCTCATTTCAGCAGTGTGAAAGGTGGTTTATTTTATAGAGGTCTTCTATGAAAGATGAAAATTCAAATATGTTATAATTAGCTGCAGTTCCACATAAGTCAGTATTATTGCAGCTTTTATATTAGATCTTAATTTGTCCCACAAATGTGTGTGTCAAATATTACAGCAGAATGATTAATGACATCAGACATAATGGAAGGATTAAGCATTGATGCAGGAGAGTTGCTCAAGAGGAACAATTTTAACTTCTTTTCACTCATAATTTATTTTTGTCCTCTACTGTAAAAGAAACCTGAAATTGAAAATAAAAATGGCTTGTGTTACTGGCAAGCAAAAGAAGAGATCTGATTCATGATTGAACTCTTCATTTAGTATTCATTGGTAGATTAAAAGCCAAATCATCTTAACAAATGGCACAGGAACGAAAAACATGGAATATAAAAACCTCAGGACTTCTGCTGAATAAACGTGGAATCATTTGCAGCAGCTTTGAAGATAAGTGCAATTCAACAGTAAAAAATCTACCCCTCCCTCCACAATCAGGTCTGATTCAGTGCCTGCTCCATCAGGCATCATGGAGTAACCTGTGCTAACAAGCTCTTTCATGGCACACCAAAGTCACCTTTTATTTCTCTCCATCACTTGTTTGAGTAGTTACTCAGTTTGCAACCAACAGGGTGTGTGAGGAAGGAACTGATGACACAGGAACAGGCAACAAGGAATTTAAAATGTCTAGGAGACACATCATGCCTGATGATGCAAATTACTGGGAACTGTAGATTTCCATCAGCTGCACGATACCTTGAAGTGCTTATTTTTCTGGTCCACTTAGAAGCAAAATAACTCCAAAAATCCCCTCCTTACTCACTTTAATCCAGTATCAGCACAGAAAGCTGCAGTTTGCATCATTCTATTTAAACAAATATTACGACATTTCCTGTTACAATCACCCTTAGGAGCCTCACAGCTCCCAACCACCCAGTCATTCTTCTTATTTCAACACAGGAATATTTACTTTAGGTGCTGGAAATGCACACCCTGGAGACACAGAAGTTGTGCTCCAGGAGCCACAGGGACCTGCAGCTTTGCCCTCCAGCACTGTCACCTTTGGGAAGCAACTGAGGGGCCTTGTCTAATCAGCAGCCTGGTCCTCAACTGAGAGTTAGGGGGAAAAAATATACAAAAATAAAAATCAGTGGGATACTTGAATTCACAGTCACAGGAACTCATACCTCTAAACACACTCTACATGTTTTTTATTCCAATGCCCCAAACACAGACAGGGCTCTCCAGCACTATTGATTTACAAACTCATTCGAGAGAGGCTTCGTATTGTGCTCCAGGGTTTTTATAACCTTTGAAACAGAGTTCCTTGGAGGGGCCACAAGAAAATGAGACGTAGCAGTGCTTTGGCAGTTTTAAACTCCTACAGCAGCAAGAAGTTGGGATAGAGGTTCTGTGGTTATAAGAAATAGAGAAATACATGTATTTGAAGTCAGTGTCAGGTGAATAAAGGCAAAGAGCAGAACACAGCTGAAAGGAACTGGGCCATGTGAGGAGAAGATGAATCCCAGTGTCTCCAAGGGAAGGAGGAGGCTGCCTACAACTTCCACCCCAGACCTATGGCCTGAGGGGGAGCACAGCCCCCTCAGTTCTTCTCCTCAATCATATTTTCTCAGAAGATGAGTCAGCTCCTGAGAGATCTTTAAAAAAAAAAAAACAACTCCCCATCCTGTAACTTTCCAACAGTCTTTTCTCATGTCTTGCAAAGGGCTGAATTCAAAGTTGCTCCCTTTATTTTACAACTTTACTGTGATTTTCCCTCACACACAGGAAGAGAGAACAGCCTGTGCTCTCCCCTCCCAGCTCACCAAGGCTTGAAGATCCCTTTTCCCCCACAACATTAAAGACAGTTTGCCCTACAATAATGAAAAACACCATTTTGCAGGAGAGCTTCACAAAGATATCAGCATATTCAGCATTTTCTGAAGCAAATTACAAGGATTCCTCCAAGTCTAGGCTTTTCCTTGTCCTAGTCACTTGGTTGACTCCCCAAGGTCTCCACCAAGATGCAGCTCATTGGTTAAGTTATATAAAAGGAGCCTTAAGTAGAGCACTCTGTTGAGGTTTGAGTTTTCCCTTTAAAATGCAAATGGCTGGTAGTTAATTCCCTTTTGGGATTTAAGAGCTGAATTTAAAATGGGAAATGATGATACAAAAATATACTTCAGAAAGCATTGCAGTGTGAGTAATGAAACCTTCGCCACGTGAATGCAGATCCTTGGGGTCAGCAGACATCTTCATTTATCTGCATTTTAATAGTTTCCCTCAAAACTGCTTTTGGCTAAGTTTTTCCTCAAAATATTACCTGGTGTAGTCTCAGTGGACTACAAAGAAGGCAAAATTTGACTGCATTTTCTATTTTTTAAAATCTCCTAGATCAGCACATTTAAATACATCAATATTCCATCGGGTATGATAAATATCTCCCTTTTGTCTCTTCAAAAGTCTAATGAGACCTTTTCCATACTTCCTGAAAATACAGCTGGACCACAGACCCATTTGCCAGCTCCTTTTTTTGACTGGGAAGGCTAAAAAGCAATCCAAAAGAAGTGTCTGCTTAGGAAAGATGTTAAATCAATATTCTCTTCCCAACTGCCAAAGGAACGTCTTCCATCTCCCTTTCTTTTTCATAATTACGAGTTTACTTCTAAGGGGGGGAATAAGCATATATAATTATGTCCTTAGCTCAGTTTATGCTTAAACACATGTATAGACACACAGACACACCCTGCAACCTTAGAGGGACCTGTGGGATGCAAGTGCTCTAATCTGCATTTAAAATTCAGAGTGCTCCACTCCTTGCATGATCAGGTCTTAAGTAACTGAACTGGATTCCTTCTATTTGTTCTGTCTTCTGGAAAATATATCTTTACATAACCCTTCAAAAGAATAATTTCTATGCACACGGACACTGGCACAAACACATACACCAGTTTTCATAAACCTTATCCCAGCAAAGGATGGAACTGTGTTGGCAGGAGAGGAAAACTACAGTTCACAACAGGGAACTGCAAAGTTCCTGGCCTGTGTTTGGAAGGGCCTAAACCTGGGTCTGGATGAAAAACTAGAAATTATTTGTATTTAGCATGTGGGTGCAGAGTTGGAGCTGTGGCCAGAGGGTGAAATGAGAGCAGCCTCGAGCCAGGTGTCCCCCCTGGCCAACACCACATGCTGATCCAGCATCATCTGGATCATCCAGCATGAGCACAGGGTAGATCCCTTGGCAGTGTCAGCAATTAAATACCTGCACCACCTCAAAATCTAAAAAACAAGGACTTAATACAAGTCTTATTTCAAGCTTTCCCTCCACCTATACAAGAATATATCAAATAGTCAAATTTTTTCCTTTTTGCCCTTCTTTGGTTTCCATGTTTTTCTGCACGTTGCAAACTGTCCAAGTTCTCCAGGCTCTGTTCTCTCTTTTTTTTTTTCTTATAGGCTGACTTCAATCAAACCCTAGATCTGAAAGTCCCCACACAACCAACAAAGAGCGTATTTCAGAACATTAAATTTGAGAAGTCACAATAAGAGCTGTGCAATGATACTGTGATATCACTCCCAGAGCACTGTTACTCCATTGTGAATGAAAACAGCATCTGGCATAGGGCAGGAAATCAGTTACCAAAGGAGTATCCAATAAGTACAGCAATGAAAAATAAGATTTAAATGAGTTTATGGCTATGTAAGTTGTTCTATTTGTTGGGAAGATGTTTCTTTAAAATCAGAGAAGGAAAAATATTGCACTTGTTAAGTCTTTTTTCCACCTTTAACTCCAGTGTTTGCTAATAGCTTTTCAACAATTGCATAATTCACTATTGAGCATTTCATGGTGAGAGAAGCCAGCAGTCTGTACAGCACAGGGCTCTTTCATTCCTCTTTATTTCCTATTTCTGTTATCAACCAACATGTCAGCTGTGAAAGAAAACCTGGTGAAAGACTGTGAAAGGAGATAAACTCCCAGCAGGTGTCACAGAAATACTGGATTGGCTTTTAGTCTTAATTATACCTTCAGTGTGGTTTCCTGTGTTGCATTTGCTCTATACTGAACAAAAGAGTATTATTTTAACATTTTTTTCTACAGTTTCTGCAATCACTATAAAGAGAAAGTGAACAGGTGAAAATAAAACTAGGTAAGAGATGGAATAAGGGCAAACAGGCATTATCAGCATGTGTCCTGGAAGTTCTGCAGGAAATTATTGAGGAAAGGGCAGAGAAGGGGTACTAGAATGTGGAATTCAGTATAAAGATGAACACAGAAGATCACAGAGTGGCTTGGGTTGGAAGGGACCTCAAAGATCATCTCATTCCACCCCCTGCCATGGGCAGGGACACCTCCCACTAGCCCAGGTTGCTCCAAGCCCCATCCACCTGGCCTTGGACTCTTCCAGGGATGGGGCAGCCACAGCTTCTCTGGGCATTTACAGCCTTTTGCAGTTAAGGAGAACCATGAGGATATGAAGCTGCTCAGCCAACTTCTAGGCTTATTTTGGGTGAAACAGAACTCACCAGGGAGATGAATTCAGCCTTATCAAGCTCATCTGAGGAGTGAAAAATGACCCTGTCATCTTAGGCCTATTCCTGGCCTTTGCCTTCCTAAATACCTCAGCAACTATAAGAATAACTTTCAAGAAAATCTTACCACAGTGGTAAAAAGGTATTTCAGTGTAAAAAGTGGCTACTGAGGGGCTGGGCCTGCAGCTGGCAAATCTCTTAATCAGAATTATTCCAAATTTGCTTTAAGAAATGCCCTTGTTATTACTGTGCACCTCTATTATTCAGGCAAATTCACTGAGCAGCAAATTTTTGAGTATTTTGAAAGTCAGGGGTCAAAATCTGGGATGCTTTGATAAAACTGAAGAGCCCAGATCAAACCTGAGCTCCCACTGGAATGTACTGGCTTTAAAGACAGTCTTCCCAAGCAAAGGGATTGTAGAACCCTGGGAAATACCAATTCTACTCTATCAGCAAAACCCTTGAAACAAATCTCCAGAGGGATCCCTGCAAAAGGAAGGCAGAAAACCTGCCATGATGCAGGAGACAGGAACACTCAGCTGGAACTGCAGCAAACCCTTTATTGTGAGCTGTAACCTCATGCTCAGGCAATCAAACCCAGAATTTTTCCACTGTGTGCAGGCTGGGGTTACAGGAGTTCAAAGCAACAGTTGAACAATTCCATAATAACAGAAATGCAAAGTGGTGGCATAACTTTATCGTGTAAATCCACTGCTTTGAAGAAACCACCTTTGTTTTGGGTCAGGCTGGCCAGGTGCCTGGGCACACCTGGAATACAGAACGTTTGGGTGCACCTGGATAACATCACATGAGCTGTAACAATGAGGATTATTTCCTGCATGAAAAAAAAAGAAAGAAAAATAAATGAGACTGGCTTGAAATAATTGGGTTATGTTCTGTTCACTGAAAGGTTTGGGGGAAGCAGACATGGTTTTTCATCACAGCCTCCAGGATCCACATCCTTCCTCTGGTGCCATTTGCCTGAAGCACAGCAGAGGCTCTGCCAGAATTCCCTGCTCTGGGCAGCTCTTTTCCCCTGAGCAGCACATTTTTCTGTTTTTCCTGTGTGTGTGGCAGCAGGAGTTTCTCATCTGGAGCCACCTCTGCACCAGGGCAGAAGCTGTGGCTCCTCTCAATGGCTGTGCGAGGTGACATCCTTGGGGGTTGTCAGCTGCACAGATAAGGCAGCACCAACTCCCTGGCAAATCCTGGCACTTGCTCCATTTGATTCCTTCTCTTCTCCTCAAATACTTGTTTTCCAAGGCATTCAGGTATCTGTCTCCAGCGTGGGTGGAATACACTTAGTTTCCAACTCAGTTAAGTTTGAAAACATTCCCTCCCTTAAACTAATCACCCCCTGAAGCAAACATTTCTTTTCTACCCAGTCAACTCCCCCCTGGAAGGACACATCCAACTGCAAAAATATTTTGAACGCAATCCAAAATGACATCTAACTCAATCCAGCCCCAGTGCCTGCTCACCCAGGAGACCCCAGACCCCTGAGGTGGTGGCAGCAGTGCAACATCACCCACCTGGCAAATGGTGGTTTTCTTCCACTTAAACTCCAAATCCCAGAATGCTGTGGAAAAAATTCACCAGTGCTTTTCTTTTTAAAAATCTAACTTTCAACATGCTATGATAAAAAATTAAGGGAAGACTTGAAGACACAGTAAATAAAGGTTTAAAATTAAGAAAAAAATAAAGAATGCAACTATAATTCTACATTTTTTAAAGTCTTTTTTTGCACCAATCCTATAAGCCATTAATAAATAGGGTAGCAATATAGATACTAAACTTAAGACAAACTCAAATTGTAAGTTTACAGAGAAAGCAAAGCAAAGCAAAGCAAAACAACTTTGCCAAAAACTCAAGGCTACAAGCAAAGCTCTCCCTGCAGCACTTGGGAGCACTGCAGGACCTACCAGGGCCCTGGGACCACTGATAAATACTGAGCAGCTTCACCTGGACTCTCCACCCACAGGCCCAGGAGTCATATTTAAGCCCAGCTCAGGGACCTCATGCCTCGTCTGAGCAATCCCAGTGGAGTGTTTGATTTCAGCCTGGGGTCAGTTGTAACTGGTTATGGCCCTTGACTTTGTCCTGTTGCTCTGGCATTGGAAAGTTACTGTTGGATTTTGTCTAATTTTTATCACTAAATTATAGACTGATGCTAGTTCTGACCTCAGCCTTGCCTCATTCTCTTGAACTTGCCTCAGAACCTGGATTTCTGAATGTCCCTGCTGCCATCTCCAGATGAGTCTTAGTCATCTCCTTTAGGTACTGAAGGTTGAGACTGTGATTGGTGAGTATTTCCACGAGCTTAGAGATGCAGGTTTTTGAGTAAGAGCTGAAGACATCCCAAGGGACATTTTTTACACTTAAAAATTTGTAAGAGCTTCTAAAACTGCATCACCTAAAATGAAATGTTCTCTGTAAAAGCCCTGTTGTCCCCGTGGAGCAGAGGAGCTGGTCAGACAGCTGGGAACGAGGAATATTTGGACAGGAGAAGATGAAAGAAATGTGGCTTGTTTCTGACAAAACAAACTTGAGGGGAGGATGTGCCTGTCTATAAACACATCAGGAGAGTAAACACTGGGCAAAGATAGAGACCCTCTTTAAGCTGCATGCAAATGTTGGCACAAGAACAAGCAAGTAGAATAAGCTTTGGAAAAAACCCAACCTTGTCTTCAGTGATATTTTTAGTCTCTTGTTCAAGGCTGCAAGAATAAAAGCCTCAGTTTCTCTCAAGAGAAATCCTGCTCAGGTTATTCACTGTGGTGTCTGTGATAGAGAAGAGGTGGTGGCTTGGAAACTCCTTTGCCAATTCCTCCATCCATGAGAAGGTCAGACTTCTAATTTCTACCTCCTGGGGAAGGAGGAAGACTGAGCATCTGACAGATAAGTATTTTTATCCCTATACATATTGAAAAAGGATACAGAGTTTTCCCAGCTAGGCAACTTACTTTTGGCTCTATAAAAAGGCAAGATAAACAGAGTATGGGGTTGGTACATGTACTAAATTACATCATAAAGTAGGATTTTTTTTCTTTTAAAGAAAACATGGTAGATGTTTAGACAGCAGCCACAAGTTATCACTGAACTTGTTTCTATGTTGCTTCCTTTATTTATCTACCCAATTCAGAAGCAGGAGGAATATCTCTGAAGATCCCTTCTTTCCCAACAGAGGCAGGGTAAGGCTGACTCTGTCATATAATCATCACTTTTTTTTTAAAAAATGCAATTGAAGGGATACGTTTCAAGTTCTTTCCCAGTGCTGGAGACAGGGAAACCTTCTAGAAAAATCAAAAATACTTTTAAATCCTGTAAATTTTAAAGCCAGCCTGTTAGATTTTAAGCCAGTTTCCTGGCTTATTTTTGTGCCTCTTTATATTTCCTATTAAATACTAGGGGGTAAATGCTACTTGGGTGGGTACAGGTCAGGCAAAGAGCGAATAACAAATGTATGGGATGAAATGCCTTAGCTAATGGTATGGTTTTCATTCAAAATAAAATCTTTACACTGATTTTTCTTTTTTGAAGATATCAATATAATGTAATACAGGAGTGATTTTAGTAGAGAATATCCAATCTTTATATAAGTTTCTGGCAAACTCTGAAATATCTGAGTTGCCTGAGTCATTGCAGCCTATTTAATGGAGAGGAAACCCAAACAGGCTCCATGTTTATTTTGCAGTTGGTGCCCAAACTATTTCCTATTAAGGGCAGTTCTACACAACCAGAGCTGGGCAGTGGATTCACTTGAACTCAAGAGGGAAATCCCCCTTCCAGCCTCAGCAGCTCTCTGTGATCCCATGTAAAACCTCAAGAATTTCCAAAAGAATTTATTCCTGGGTATAGCAGACCAAGGGCAAGCAGTTCAAACAAATCCACCCTGGATTTTGTGCCAAACCAACCATTATAGTTAATCTTGCAGAATAATTATACCTGGACAATCATATTCAGCACTACAAGAGGTTTGTGGGGAAGTTACAAAATAAAATTAAAAGTTCCCATATTGTCCTTAACTTCAGTATGTCACTGTGCCACCTCAGATACCCAACTATAGCAGCATAATTTAAATATGTGGGACAAGGACTAAAGGGATTCTTTTAGAGTGGTGCTGGAAGGGTTTTAAGGCTGATGGTGGTTGAGGTCCTTTCCCAGAGAAATGTGTGCACTAAATCACCAGGAATCCCAATGAAGAGAAGCTGACCTGGATTTGAAGTTGAACTGCATCTGTCCAGTGAGATTTCTGGGAAGTGCTTCAAGAAATAACAAGTCTGGCAATGCAGAGGAGAACTGGGCTGCACTGGAATGCTGAACTGGGTTGACTGGGACCACAACCTGCTGCCTGTAGAAGCGCTGGGGCTGCACAGGAGCAGCCAGGACAAGAAGAAAAAATCTCGTTCTCATCCAGCAGAAGCTTGTGAAAAGGCAGTTTTTATATCCAAACCTGTGAAATGCTCAACTCCTGGTTGATTTTTGTCTTCCCTAAACACTGAGATTTTGAGGCCCCATCATGAGCAGCAGCAGCCTCCATAAATATTGTTAGAATGGAGTCAAAGAGATATTGGAGTGTGAGTGGCAAAGTATTTTCCCTGCAGGCATTTTGGCAGCCAGAGCTCACTTTTCCCATCTCTACAACCCAGCAGGGCTTTGCTAAATAAATTTTCAGCGAACTGAAAAGCTCTCTTTTCATGAAACTTGCTGCATCTTTTACCCAGTGAAGATTAAGGGGGGGTGATGAGAGTTGTTTCCTGGCTTATTTCTGTGTTGCTTTATATTTATTAATAAACATTGTGGGATGTGAGTATAGATCAGACACAGAGAGCTGATAGTGAATGTGTGGGACGAGATGGTATGCTTTTCATTCAAAATAAAATCACTTAAAATGTTGATCAGTAGGTGTTAAAACACTGACCCCAAACTTTCTTTAGTCAAACATTTTCTTGCAGTTAAAGGGATTAATTCAGCATGTTAAAAAACAAAACACTAATTTTTTAGGGGCAAAATGATCCTGAGAACCAAACTAAGATAACTTTGCTGTACTTGCATGTGTTTTACATGAGGCTACTTTAATTAAATTTATTGTGGCTTGCTCTAAACTAGTGAATTCACATCATTCCCTTAATGTTTTGTATTCTCTGTACAGGATGAAAAGTAATTCCATTTCAGTTGCATTATAATTTAGCAGGTTTTAACAGACACAGGGAGAGAGCTGAAGTTTTTCCATCTCCTAGATTGGGGTTTTAAATCACAGCCAGCTGCTGACTCGCACAAGGGGAGGGAAGTGGGTGCCACAATCCATAGCCCAATTCTGTGTGCAGTTTAATTTGGGAATCTGGGCCTAAGTACCTACTTGTCATGCACAGATGGAGGCTGGGAGGTCACCAGGGCCAGCGAGGCAGTGGCTGCTTCTATAACTCAAGTGAATTTATAGCACTTGAGCATTTTTCTTTGTCATGTTTTAATCTATGTGCTCCTCAAAATGAGATTATGTCATGGAGAAAAATCCAATAACCCCAACAAAACCTGAAACAAAGGGGGATAGATGGGACAAGAAAAATATTTCTAGAAGGTTGGGGAGCAGCTTTAGGGAGTGTGGTCAAGATGTAGGAGGCTTGTTTTTAAGGCAGAGACTTGAGAGTGGTTTTAGTGGGTGAAAGGAAAGGGTGAGGAGGTCCAAGTGAAAGAGGGCAAATTGATATTAATGAATAAATTAAATGGGGTGGGGTTGCAATGTGCTTTTCCCTCCAGAATGAGGGAGAAAACAGTCAGTGGGAAACAGTGGAAAATGAGCCTTGGAGTGGCCAGAGGGGAGAGACAGAACAGGCAGGATGGGAGGAGGTGCTGAAGCACCAAATGAGGTGGTGCAGGGATGGAGATGTGGATCTGCTGAGCCAGGAGATGAGGGGGAGAAGGAGAATTTGGTGGCAGGTCCCAGCACTGCTCCAGACCAGGGGTGGTTTCATGTATTTCATGAAGATTAGAAATAAATAAATGAACCTCCTGTGAGGGCTCCTCTCTCTGCCAGCAAAGAAAACAAAGCCTGTGCTGGAGCACCAGCAACAACACATGGAGCATGGGAATTACAATGGGCATTACATCAGAGCCCAGAGACTGCAGGGGATGAATCAGAGCAGCATCTGCAGCCACTGGAAACTTGCACTGATTTGGCTCAGAGGGGAAAACAACCTGTGGGATAGCATTCAATATGAGCCAGCAAGTCTTCAAAATGTTAGGGAGACTCTTGGAAACCCCAAATAAAAATATAACACTGAAAACATTGACTTATTAAAAAAGTAATACATGTCCCTGTTAAGACTTTTGAGAAATAAAGCAGTTTTGTTTGGTCTTATGTATTACTATTAGTTCTCCTGATGTTTCAATGTGGTAAAATGAAATTGAAACTGGTGTTATAGAACAGAGGAATAAATCGACTCCATAACTGCCATAAATCAAATTAAGACAACTGCCCAGAGGCATAAAAAGGTATTGTGAAAGGGGAAAACCCTCCCCCGAAAACTTCTAAATTGAGCTAATTCCGCTCATTTCAGGTTTCAAACCTGTATCTAACATTTTAAGGTCAAGTTCCTAAGCACAGGTTAGAAAATTTTCATCTCTGGGAGGTTTTCTTTAAATTTTGATTGGTCATGGAAGGGCTGGGTCAGTACAACAGGGGATGATTTCAATATGCACCTGCAGCTCTTAATTTAAAATACTAGTCCAGGCTTTAAAAAGACAGACCTAATGGAAAATTAGACTTAATTGCACCAAGATCAGACTTTCTTGCTGTTCTCCCAGGGCAGAGAATGAGCAGAACCAGTTCTGTAAAAGCAGTGATTCATTTCTAACCCAAATTTCCCCTTTCTGTGCTCCTGGGTTTGGGTCAGTTGCCCACAATGGGCCATTGCAGGATCTGTGGCTGCCCACGCTGCAGAGAACAGTGGGTTTGGGCACACAAAGTTCATGGAGCCATTTGGAATAAACTTAAAAGGTCCTAAACACAGAGATTGTCTTGTTTAATATCTACTCAGCTACTGGATCAAAAAGCTTCCCAAGTGCATGAAAAAATTTAAATTATAGCGCCCGTTAGGGCCCTGTGAGGCAGAAGAAGCCCTTTTTGGGGGCATTTCTTCATGGGTTGATTCTCGACAGATATTAATAGCTCGTGCGTCAGCTTTTAAGTAAAATTCTGGTGAAACCCAGTGGTTTTGACACTATTTTAGGTAACTGCAGTACCAGGGGCTGCCAGATGGGGCTGACGGGGTGTGGAGCATCGCGGCCTGGAGCCCAGGAGAGCTTTGGGGGGGGTCACTTCATTATCCAGAGGGGAGGGGGGAGGGACTTCCTGTGCTGGAAAATTTGGGAAGGGGGGGGTGGGTTGTGGGGGAATCGCCCCTCGGCCCTCCCCGCCGCCAGGGGGCGCCCCGCGCTGCCCCGCCCCGCCAGCAGGGGGCGCTGCCCGCGGCCCCCGCACCGCCTCCCACAGCGGGGGGCGGAGCACCGCGATGAAAGGCGCGTCCTGATTGGCGGAGATATCTCCGGCGGGGATGAGAGCGGCGCCCTGATTGGCCGCGCGCAGCCACAGGGGGGAGCGAAAGCGCGGGCCGGGGTCCCCCCCGTCCCGTCCCCTCTCCGCGGGCCCCGGTCCTCCACTCCCCTCTACCTCTACCCCCACCCCCCCCACCCCCAGCCCCCTGACCCGGGTACTCTGAACCCTCCCTGGAGCAGTTTTGTGCCCCATCGTGGCGGGCGGAGACGCTTCAGCCAATCAGCGCGCGGCGCCACGGCCTGTTGCCAGGCAGATTATGCTAATGAGGCCCGGGCGGCCGCCCCCCCTCCCGCTCTGCAGCTACCATTGTGAGGTGAGGACAGGTGGGGGGGTTCGGGGCCGCCGCGGGGTCGGCGGCGGCGGCCGAGGCACGGCGCCCGCACGGGACCCCCTCAGGTAACGCGATGGGACGGTCCGGGAGGGCAGCGCGGCCCGGGAGCGCCGCGGGGACCCGCCGGGGGTTTTGGACTTGTTGTTTTAGTCGCACCCAAGATGGCGCCCGGAGCTGGCGGTGCGGGGCCGGGATAAACCGTTGGCTCCCGCCAGTGGGGGGGGGAGCACGGCGCACTCATTCCCCTTCCCCCCCCCAGGCGGGAGAGGTACAGTCCGCTCCCCCCCCTCCTCGGCCCAGCCGGGATCCCCCACCCGCCCCGGGCGGGAAGAGAAGGGGCTGCCCCCACCCCTGCTCCCCCCCTCCCTGCGTGGTACAGTCCGGACCCCGGCACCTCAGCAGCGGGGGGGGCTGCCGCAGCCATCTTTTTGCCCCCCCCCCGGCACTGCGGGGGTCTCATCCCTCCACCACTGCTCTGGGCCGCTCGCCCCGCGGTTAGCACGGCTCCCCTGCCCTGCGCTGCCGGCCCGTCCCCCCCGCGCTGCCCGTGCTCTGGCCAGCGGCCCCCGTCCCCCCCGGGCCCGCAGTGGTCGGGGCCGGCTGACCGCCGGGCGCCCTCCCGGGGGGCCGATGGCGCGGGGCCCTCAGGCGGGGCCGGGGGGGGGGCGGCGGAGAGCGGGCAGTCTGGCGGGGGGGGGGGGCACGCGCGCCTGCTGATTGGCCGCTGGCCTCGCGCCCCTGCCTCCTATTGGCCTAGTTAGGGGAGGGGGCGTCGCACCCCGTCTTCGGATTGGCTGTGTGAGGCGGCGGGGGGCCGCGGAGGGTATATAAGGGGGTGCAGGTGGGGGGGGGGCCTGGCAGTCCGCCCCCTGAGGGGCCGTGGGGGCTTGTCCGTCGTGGGGTCCCAACTTCATGGGGCCCTGCCCCAGGGAGGTGTCAGCGGACCCTTTGGGCACCGGTGTGGCCCCAGCAGGGAAAGGCTCCCAGCTGGGCAGCCCTAAGGGTTGGTGTGGAGGAAAGGCAGCCCCTTCGCCACTGCCCTGAGGTGGTTCTGTCCATGAGGGTCCCAGTGTGAGCAAGAGCAGCTGCTGCAGGTGGGAGCTGTGGGTTCACTGCTCTCCTGATGCTGGTCTTGGTGCCACCGTGGTTGTCTTTGCCGAAACCCTTGTTCCTGTGGTCTGCCATGTGGTTATAGAATGTAGCTTTTTGTGCATCTTTTGCTCCCCGGGTTTTGGTGGTGGCTTGTCCTGTTCCTTCTCCTGAACCTCCACAGTTCCATTAAAAATTTGTGGGAGCTTGTTAAATGATTAAGTTGGAATGGAAAAATGAGGTCCTGGTACTGTGCCTTTCAGAATTACTCATCCTAAAGGGAAAACTTGCCTTTATAGGGTTATTTTGCTGTACAAGATGTTCCAAGCTATGTGTGGTCACCTCTTGTTTATTGTTCATTGCAAAGCCTCGGGAGGACTCTTGCAGGGGCCCTAAATCAGAATTTAAGATACTGACCTCCATAGTCTTGACAAATGAAGGGTCAGTATTTGCAATGCATTTTTTGGTACCTGAGGACCAACCTGTCTGCTGTATCATGATATATTTGCGGTTCTTACAGGCCCTTAAAGAATGAACAAGCACAAAAATGGGTGTGTAAAATGCCTGTCAAGATTTCTCTTTGAGTTTCAGTGGGAATAGAGACCATACTGAACTTTAGCTTTCTTCTGTATATTTTTAATAATTCAGTTATTTTTTTTCTTTTAGTTCAGTTAGAAGATGAGATGCTAATGAATCACCAACTGATTTTACAAGAGGATTCTTTGCTGCTTTTGTGGCCACAATAAAATAATTGGCAGACTCGAGCCTTCTAATGCCTTCATTTCTAGGAAAAATAATACTAGAGGGTGTATTGCTCTAGTCACTCCTTAAATGGAAAACTTATCTCCTGAATTGAGATGGGTTTTGGCACTTTGCTACATGTGTGAAACCAGACAGCTTTATTACCTTACTAGAGAACGAGATATCGATGTCATTAATATTATCTGATGGAATAACTGACAATGTGATTTTAGAGAGAAAGGGGTCTGTGGTGTCTTCTTACTCCTACCCTGCACAGAAAATCCCTGGATGAGCATTGCCAGGGTAATTTTCTTTGCAGTCAGTAGCCACTTCGAGTGTGTTCCTGACCACCTGCAGCTGCTTACAGCTGTGTAAACTGAATTCTAATGGCCTTTTAAGTGTAGCTAATTACAGGGGCTGCTTTTGTATGGTGAATTTTGTTTGGACTTAAACACGAAGTGGGGCCTATTTGTCACTTTTGTTTCCTGCTAGTAAAACACACAGAAGTTATGGTGTAGCCCTGAGATGTCTCTCTATCTCAGTCCTCACTTCTTTTAAGGTGCAGATAGTCCATTTGTTCTCTGGGGTAATTCAGAGAAGCAGCTATTCTGCAGGAGCCAGCTTAGGTGTGGTTTTCATAGGCAGAAACAAGGTAGTTTTGTCTTCTGAATTTTAAGAGTGATTTAATTCAGAGGAGAGGTGCGGGGGGGTGGGGGGGGGGAAGGGAGGGAAAGGGAGCAGCACCATCCACTTGTAGGAAGGGGAACAACCCCTTCCAATTGACAGTTCCTTTGGGAAGAGCTGCCGGAGGAGGAAAGGATGCGAGACTAAGTGGCAGGAGGAATCTGGAGGGGAACAGTTTGTTTTCTTACAGTAAACCCTGAGTGTGCCTCCTTGAAGGCTGTGTAGGCAGCGCTGTAGCACACATTGATACAGACACTTTTCCTTTTTTTGTGATCTTGTACTTTGAAATACATGTGTTCCCTGTTCTCTTGCTTTATCAACTTCTCCCTCTGTCATTTATAAACCAAATTTAGGAAGGCAGGGTCACTGCCTCAAGCAGTGATACAACACACCATGATATCACAGAGGATGAAAGATTGGGAAAAAAAGTGACGTGGAGAACGTGGTCACGGATTCAGGAAGCTGAGGGCAGGAGAAAGGAGTCAGAGTGGATATGTAGATGTTGAGTAAATGGGAGGAGAGGTGACTAAAGAAGAGCATGTGCATATGTAGGAAGTCATGAACTTGTCTCTGCCCACTCCGAGGGAGAAGATATTGTGGGAAACTTGGTTATACAAGAGTTGGGACTCAAAATCCTTAGAGTGGCTCTGAGTAGGTGTCTAAGCCAAGCCCGGGTAGTCCCCAGGAATGTTAACCTGTCCTTGTGGAGCTGGGTTGTCTCCCGGATTCCGTGGTAGAAATGGACTCTTACCTCACAGGTTGTGAGAATAGTTCCATCAGGCAGTCGTGCTGTCACCTCTAGTGCCTGGGCACTGTCCCTGGAGGAAAAGGACTGTGACACATTGGACACAGTAGGAGTTCTCTTCCAGCTCATTGTTGTTCTTATGATGGATATGCCATAGGGATATGGATATAGATAGATCCATTATGCACAATTGGAATAAAGACTGAGTTGGTGTTTGGCTGAGTTCTTCTCTTTATTACATGACTAAATAAATTGAAGCCATTTTTCCTTTTGTGGAAATAAATAATCCTTGCTGTCCCAGCCCTATGTATGATTTCCATTTTTAACTTGCCAGTAAAACATAAATATTGTGGTTATACATTACCCGATTGTTACCATTCAGGCAAAATGCACCAGAGCCAGAGTTCCTTGAAACAATGTATACGTGTGATGGATGGTGCTGCAGAGGAGGTGATGCAGTGGTGACTCAGTCCTCAGTGAGGTTCAAACCCTTCCTGCTGCACTGAAAGCCCGTTCCTGCCAAGGCAGCTCAGGAAATGCACCCGTTCTGCCTTCTAGGCAAGCTGGGGTAATTAACATTAAGTGTGGGATAAAGCGTTTTGGAGACACATGTGATGTTCCTTTGGAACACAATAAATCATTTTCATATTAAAAGCTGGAAGAAGACCCAGAGTCATAAACCCCCTTTTGTACCAATTTTGCTGCCTTTGCACATGGCTGGATGGTCAGTGAGCTCAGTCCTGGGAGGATTAAACTAATAGTCCCTGCTGTTATTGCTGCAGGGAATCCCAGGTGATGGCAAACCTCCCTTATGCCGGGGAGTAAATCACATTATCTGCTTTATGCACCATTATTGTAAAGTGGGTTCTCATTTGAGTCACTGCAGTGGCTTTATGGCTCCCCGAGCAGGGAGGGGGACTTTGCCCCTCGCTCAGCTTTAATATTCCCCCATTCTTATCATTTCTGAGAAGGGACAAAAACGAGTGTTTGGCAGCCACTGGCTTGGGTTTTTCAGTAAAATGTCCTTAGTGAGATTTGCAGAGGTTGCTGCAGATGAATTCCCCAGAGATTTTGTCTCTGTATCTTCTTGCGTAGTTGCAGCATTGAGAGAAATTGCCATTCCTAATAGCCAAGAAAATATGGTTACTGTTGATTTTTGGGTTTCTTTTGGTGGTGCTTTTCTGTGAATTTCAGAGCTTTGAAGCACTGTCTGAGTTCACTGGGTTCAACTTGTGTCCAAAACACTCAGACACTGAGCACAAAACGGCAGTGACTTTGCTGTTAGTGTTTTTCTCTTAGAGCACCATTCACTGCCACTTCCTGAGTGTTCGGGGAGTCACGGGTGCACGTGTGGGGTGTCACACGTGGGTGTTGTGATGGCTCAGGGGGTCTGATGCTGAGGGCAGGAAGGACATTTCTGCTGGATAGGGAATGAGACACTTTGCCCCCCAGAGCAGTGCTTTCCCATCCTCTGCAGCTGAATGCAGTACATGGGGAAGTTGCTGATTTAATAACACAGCTCCAGAGGAAACACCATCCCACAGGAACAGGAGAGAGGAGCTGGAGAGTGTCCTGGAGGACAAAAGAAGTTTTCAAGCGAGATTTCCAAAAGAGATGAAGAACTCTTCAGACAATGACACAAAGGTGCTTTCCAGGCATCAGGAGCTGCAGAGAAGCTTTGCTATTAATGAGATGTTCTGGATTGGATGTAAAAAGCAAAAACTAAGAGAAAAATTGGAGGTCTGTGACACCAGCAGGTCCCAGAGGGTGTTGAGAAAAGGAAGGTAAATGTGAATAGTGTACAGACCAACCTGTTTTGTCTTGAAGGGGTGGTTGATTTACTTGCACAGCTCAGAATGAGCTAATCTTCCACTGGAGGAGATATTTCAAAGTCATGGGAGCTGAGCTGGCTCTTGGTTCACATTGTATTTGATTCACACCAGTGACACACAGGACTGTCACTGCCTCGCCACTCTGACGTACTGGAGTGATACTGGGAGATATTTATACCTGCTACCATTTCAGCTTGTGCCATCACCCAGCGTGGACTGGGAGAGGCATGCCTGCTATTTTGGGGAGGTAGATGCTGTCTTTGCAGTTGCTGTAAATGGTTTACCATCTCACATTGGCATTGCTTTCGCTCATGTGCGTGATGCTTATGAGGTTGGATGAAAACATTGGGGTGCTGATAGAATTGTTGATGATTATTGGGTGATGTGCCTCATAATATGACTAATCTTTCAAATTCCATCATCTCCAAGTTATTGAAATACTTGTTACGACAAAAAATGATGGAGTATTAAATAATATTTGAGCCAGGCCTCTTAAATTTTATAGTGTCATTACCAGTGGATCAGAACGGAGGAGAGAGAATATAGTTGTGACATACATAACACATAAATTTAACATTCGTTAAACCAAGCTGTTTAGTTTATTGTTTGAATAATCTCTACATGGATTATCATTACAAAATGTAGCCTAAATTCTCCATATTGGGAAAAAGCTGAGTATATCCTATCACAGCTCCTTTTATCTTTAATTATCTTTTTTTCTTGTAGGATTTCTGCAATTCAGTTTCAAATTGTTGTACAAATTCATATGGTAATCCCTTGGACATAGCAGAGCTTCCCATTGAGGTGCTTGTCCCGGTGTTTGTTTAGCTTGTCTGAAAATGTCTGATGTGTGTGAGGTATGGTGAGAAAAATCAACAATTGCAAAGGATAATCCATGGGCAAACAGTGCAGAGAGTGCTCCCTGCATGCCAATGGTTTGGCAGTGCTTATGCCCAAAGTTCTATGTTTATTTCTGCTGAAAAACCACCAAAACTGAGAGGAACTCACAGGGAAGTGGTTAAAGTCTCGGGGCACTGTGGTTGTCGATGTCAGAGCTGTAATGGGTATTGAAAGGAGGATTTAGAGGAAGAAATTAGATCCTGCAGGATTAACAGGAGGAGTTAGTTACTTCTATGGAGGAGTAGTGAGCAAAGTTAGTTTGGTCTTTGTCATCAGTGTTGGAAAACTCCCTGAGGTGTTGGTGTTTCCAGGCAGTTCTGTGGCAGTGACTTGGGGCCACATCATGTTTTCCAGCTCCTGCCCTTGGGCTTGTTTCACAGCTCAATATCAACACTTGCTCCTGCCTCCTGTGCTCTTTGTTGCCAGTCCTTGGGACCTCTCTGGGACACAGCCTGTCTCCTGCACTCCTCTCTCTCAACACATCTGTGTTTCCAGGAAAATGTGCTTCTCAGTGTATCTTGGTGATTATAGAAATGGTGATGGAATTCATGGAGATCCAGGCTTTGGTAGGAATGCACACCAGAGGCAGATCTAGGATGTATTTGGAAGTACAGAAGTTGAAAGCATCAGCAAATCCTGCAGCTCCTGATATTGTCCCTTATTGGTGCACAATTGGCTGAGCTGTTTATTATTTTCATTTCTGTGAAGAACAGCAATAACAGGACCATTTACAGAAACTGCACCACCGAGCCCCTGAAGTTGGTTCAGCCTTGCTTTTTTTTCCCCAAGATTTGACATGAGTGCTAACTTTCAGAACCATGAAATGACTGTCTTCTGCTTTCCTTTGCAACTCTTTGGTACTATTTTTTTCCAGAGATGAATCTTAATGCCCCGTTTTGTCTATTAAAGACCCTGCCTGAACTCTTTGGTCTGCTTTGCACTAAAGTTGTAAGTTATTTGTGCCAAAATGAGTCTGCAGGAGTGAGTCAGCATCTTCCCTCAGCCCTTCAGTGTCTGCTGGTGGGGAAGGTCAGCCAAAAATTCTGCTACTTGTTGCACCATGTGGAATTAGCTAGAACTGTGCCTTTCCCTTAATTCAATCACTGGTTAATTTAATTATATTCTTTTTAACAGGTTAATTATATTTTTTTTAAATCGAGCCACCCAAAATTGAAACTTATAGTGTTTATTTTTCTAAGCACTTAGATAATTGATTAAACTACTGGCTATTGTTAGTGCAATTATCTGAATTGGCTCTTGATTAATACTGACAGTTAAGGAAAAGAGCTGTTCGGGATAAACCAACCAAAGAATATCAACAGGATGGGTGTTAAATTTTACATAAAAATTGCTCAGAGTGTGTTACTGACATAAATGCTGTCACGTGTCACACAGTGGTGATCAAATGAGCGCTGGAGGTCAGTGAATGAGGTAGGATTAGGTATGAGAAAATCCCTGATTTAATCCTTAATAACATACAAGTAGCTGGATAAAAGGTGCTGTGTAGGGATGGATGATATTTATTTATAGATCAGAGCTTGTGTGTTCTGGGACATATAAAGACATGATATTTATCTAATAATATTTATCTGTGAATGGCCCTGGCTTTCACACTTGCAGAGCAGGGCTGGTGTTTATCACTCCTAATTGTTTGCTGCAGTTAATTTGCTGGTACTAATGAGATCCTGAGCTCAAGTGTTGCACTCAGGTACATGGATTTCTTTTTAATTTTTCTCCTCAGTGCTTTTTGGGGATGTTTTGTATTGAGCAGTATTGATGGAGATAAGATTTCTGTCCCTTTATCCCCATTTTTTCCCCTCTACCACGCAGTTCAGTGGCGTTACTGTGAGACTTCCCTCTCCTGTTGATTTATCCCTGGCCAGGACTGGTGGAACAGTCAGTGCTCGGGTCTGCATAGCTCAGTCCTTGCTGGCAAAATTAGCAGGAGGCAGAAAGTGCCTGCTGCTTTTTCTACCCCTCCTTATCTATTTTTCAGTTTGTCAATGACAAGCCAAATGCTAACATTTATAGGGATAAATTATGACTAAAATAATTTGCATTTAAAATGCAAATGAATGAAAGCATCAGCAAGGAGCCTTCTGCTTCCCTCTCAGAGCACAGGCTGGTACTGGCATTGGATCAGTCCAGAGAGGCACTGGGTATAAAATAAACTTAATTGGAGGAGCTGAGAAATTAAGTGGGCCCAGCCTTATGCTAATTCCTGTGATTTAATATGACATTAGAGGGGAAGGATTGGGAAGGTGCTGAACCACCGACTAAACCAATCACCAGAGCTGTAAATTACCATGCTGGGATCCCAACAGCAGATTGAGAGGCCCCAATAAAACTGTGAGAGGTGAATAAAATCAAGCTTGGAAGCAGTTTGTCAGGATCTTGGGGCTCGTGTGAATTAGAGGTTGAGTTTCATTGTTCTTTTTTAGAAGTTGGCTGTTGTAACACTGCCTTGTACTACTCAGGCCTGTGGTTTTGTCCAAGGTGAAAGCTGCCTGTTCATGGAAAGCCCTTTTGTGCTCCCCCAAAACCTCTTTCAGGCAAACTGGTTGTGCATCTCTGAATGCAGTGTTTTCCTGTTGGAAGCCTAGGGTCCATTTTTTGCATTATTTATTGATTTCTAGGCCTGTAGATGCCAGAAGGACAATGTGGAGAATGTGTCGTGGTCTGCCTGTGGCCAAGGAAAGATGTGCAGGAAGAATTCAGTGTAATGTTTCAGTGCTGTTGTAGCAGTGGTTGACTTGTTTCCTCAATGGGACATGGAAAGTGTTGTACAGCAAGACTTGACCATGGTAAATGAGATAAGATTTCTCTTCCTTTATTCCCCTAACTAAGGTGTTTGGGTCTAAAAGGAAATGTTTGTAAAGCCAGGCCTGCTTTACCCTGTGTGGTACAGAAGCGTGGTAGCCGATGATAATAATTACCTCACACTGGTTTTAACATTTCTGCCCTCTGCGTTTTTACAGCCATGTTGCTGAAGATCACCTTGTCTTCTGGAAGCAGAAACACAGTGAACAGATGAATCCCTCCAGCCAGACATTCCTCCAGTAGATCTCTCTCCTCATGGAACACCCCAGCAGGGAGGAGATGGACTTGAAAGAGGAAGGTTCCCAGGTGTGGGCTGAGTCTGCAGCACAGGAACAGAGCACTGCTCAGGTGATTAGTGCTTTTCAGAGCTCATTCTGCTCAGGATGGATTGGGAGGTTTAGTTCCCATCCGCCCCTGGCTTAGAGTCTGGAAGCTGAGGTATTATTTGAGGAGAAATACAAACATGTTTGTGGTGATTTCGGGTTAAAGCTTCAGAAACTGAGCTGTGCAAACCACAGCAGTGAAGACACAAAGCTCTAAAACCGAGCTGAACAAAACCAGCCAGTGGCTCTAGAAGTTTTGGTGTCCAAATATATATATATAACCATGTGGGAAAGTGAAAGGGTGCTCAGAGTAATGAACATTAACAAAATCTGTGGTCTGTGGCAGCCTGTTTGATGGCATCAGTCGAATCAGTTGGAGCTGTGGGTGGACCTTGGGGAAAGTAATGAATAATTTTTTCCTGTCAGACATCTGGGTACTGAGGAAGAGAGAAATGTTAATTGTAGGCAACTAATGCAGTCAGATTCTGATGTGTGCAGCTCGTCCCTCTGACTCTGAGACAACGCAGCTGGCAATTTCTAAAAGGCTGTAAATTGATTTATTCTTTTAAGTATGTAATGAAGAGGGTGCTGCATGGCATTTGACACACAAGCCGAGAAATTCTGCCTCTCCTGGTAATTTCCAGCTTTGAAATTTGCCAAGAAAGGCAGTTTTCAATGCTCCTGTTCCATTCTCTCTACAAGGGGATAACTATGCTGCTGTTTGCACACAGCAGTTTTAAGGCTTAATTAGTATTTGCAGAGTGCTCTCCAAATGTGAAACTGTAGTGTTTGTTTGAGGATTTATTGTACAGAATCAGCACTGAGCAGCCACGGGGGAGTACCAGGTGTCTCCTGCAGCATAAGCTGAAAGGTGAAACAAAATAAACAAAACATGTAACCGTGGCATCGTTTTATGTGAAAGTGTTTGATGTGAATATGAATACAGATACTCAAACTAGGTTTCCTGCTAACTATCCTATTTTCCTATACACTGGAAAAGGTTTTCAGCATATAAAGGATGTCAAAAGCTAAATGTGTTCCTATTTCCACTGGAATTCAGTATTCTGACTTGTCTAATGTAGGCCACTAATTATCATTTATGATCATAATGTTCTGTCAAAATCAACTTGTTTGGATTTAAACTGCTGCCCTAGACATAACTTGTTCCAGTAGTCCTTGGAATCATTGCTTAATGCTTTCAGTTATGTTTGTCTGTTTAAATAGCTGAATTTTCTCCTGATACTGCATGTACACACTAGAGAGAAGCAATCTCACATGCCCTACTGCTGCCTCTGAGAGGTGCAGTACTATAACTTGAAGTAATATCAGAGTTAGTAAGTTCTGTTAGCCCTTCATAAGATAAAAGAAATTATCTGCAACTACAGAACTAGCTGAATGAAGTTATTATCATAAATCCAGAAAGGAACATGAGTATAAAGGGAAACAACATACCAATAAATTCCATGCATACACCAGTTCAAATATGAACTTCTTCTCTTAAGCTTCTCTTCTTCTTAGTGCAAGAACTAAGTATGGGTGGGTGCCGTTTATACCAGTTGAGTTACAATGCAGAGTAAAACCAGGAACTGATGGGAGTTGGTGTCCAGGATTCCATATTGTCACCATAATTCAATGAGATTTTAAATGTGTGTTACACAGTGACAATTTCAAACCGAGGTTCTCCCTGCTTTCCAAGGCAGGCTGTGTTGTCCCCCAGGCCTGCTGTGGTGTCACTTCAGGATGTGTTTTCCCCCCAGGTGCACTTTGTCCCCGAGGGGGGGGCGGTGGCGCAGATCGTGTACAGCGACGAGCAGGAGCGGGGCCCGTCCCAGCAGGTGGTTTACACGGCCGATGGCACCTCCTACACCTCGGTGGACACCTCGGAGCACACCCTCGTTTACATCCACCCCGTGGAGGCTACGCAGGCACGTGTGGTTCCCAGCCCAGCCCAGCCCGGGTTTGGCACCTAGAAAACAAACCAGTCTTGTTTGGGATGAAAGCCAGTCAGCAGCCAAGTGGTACGACTGGAAAATAGCAGTTTTTCCTGCCCACTGCTGAGCAGGGACTTCATGCTGTTCATTTGTCTGATGTGCAAATGTGCTCATCAAAGGATGTGAAGGCTATGAATTATGAAATGCTGGTTATTTCACTGAAGGTGGATGAGATTATAATTAATTCAAAGGTGTTTTCCAAAACATGGATAATCTCTCCAGAAATTCTGCCTCTGTTGTATTTAGTAAAAAGCTAAAAGCCATCTATGTGCCTTCTGGAAGAGTCCTTGTTTTGTGTAGCACAGTCGTCCTAATTGATAGTTACAGTAACAGTCGTGTCTCTTTGCAGAGGATCTCAGTGTATTCAACCTAATTTTGTAGTTTCTCTGCAGAGTTGTTGATTTTATAGACCTTTTATATTCTTTTGCTTCTGCATAATCATATCAATTAGCTTTTATTCCCTGACAGCACGTGTTTGGATAGGGTTAATATGCTGTGCATCTGTGACTGTGTGGACAGATTCAAAAGGACCAGGCTGGCTTTATAATGTCTTTGCTGACAGGACAGATTAGCAGAGCTGCAAAGTGCACGTACCTGACACCCCCAGCCACGCTGGCAGGGCCTCATGGCACGATCTGTCCTGTGCAGCCCTTGAGCTGTTACATAAAACCAGCTCCTACGTGGTGGGATGTCCTGAGAGGATATTTTGGGAGGATATCTCCCAGGAAGTTACTGACAACTAACTCCAAAACTCTGAATATTATCATTTTGTCAAAAGATACTGTCACGCAACTGAGATTAAATTGTCACAGTGCTAAAGGAAATTGTATTGTGCCTTATTTTGTTGGAGCCAGGCTGCTACAAGCTCAGGTTTTGGCAAAGTAGGCAAGGCTGACCTCAGTCAATCCTTAGTTTTCATCTGAGTCTTGCTTTTCCAGGCTCCCATCAGGACTGTTCTTGCAGAATATTGGAGTTGGCATGTCTTCTATGAAATTAAACAGCATCCTGCCCTTACTAAATTTACATGTGGGATGTGCCTGATAGCTCCTCAAAAGAAAGTGTGCAGAAGTCTTGTGAATTTGCAGGAAGAAAAAGCTCACAGTTATCTTCTATCCTGCCCTTAAGTAGTTTTGGTAGAGCTTTTGAATTGAATTAGAATCCTGTAGATTCTATCAAATCAACAATTGACAAAGTGATTTCTGTAATTAAAAAAGATAAACCAGGTGAAACACTTTAATTATACAGATGAAAAGTGCCACATAATTATGATATTAAATTTTTATGGAGCACCACCCAATTTTAATTTCTATCTGTGTAGATCCACTTGGGTAAGTTGAAGTAATGTTCTGTGATAATAGCCATGTTAGAAGTTGGCAGAGGCTTAAATGTGGGTCGTTTCTTGGTGGCAGGGTAATTTTTGTGTGACTTGGGAATAAACAACACCAGGGCTGGTTTGATAAGCCTTTTTCACTTTGTCTAGACTCTGTTTACAGATCCATCCCAAGTGGCTTATGTCCAACAGGATGCCACCACCCAGCAGGTAAGGAAGAGACACTGCTTATCTTGGACCTGAAACTGTAAGGGAAGAGTTAGGGAAGGTAAAGGGACATTGTTGTGGTGCTAGAGGGTAACGACTGTCCCTGAAATTGTCCAAAACCAGTCTTCAGTTATGTCCTGTCATCCTGATCAAGGGCAAAAAGCCACTATTGCCATAGCCAGCTTGTGCATGAATGATAATGAAAGTTAAGACTGACTTTGAGTTTATTGACTTCAATTCATGCTCAACAAAAATTCTAATTTACTGCCCTAGATATAATGAAAAATCTTTCAACAGTGTCCCTTTAAATGAGTCAGCAGAAGATGTGGCTGACTTTATCTGAACATGCCATTCTGGAAAGGCTGGGTTTACAGTTGTCCTCATACAGATTCTGATCCAAATGCCTTTTAAGTCCACAAAAGGCTCTTGAGGGATAGAAAAATTGGATCAAATGCTACTTTTACTAGAAGCTTCACAGGAAATGAAGTGTAAAACCTGAGGAAGTTCAGTGAGTGGTTCCCTCACCTTACCAGGGTGTGCTGGGCTTGCCAGTGTGAAGTAGGCTGGGAATAGAATAAAATGGAGCCCGTACTTATAAAGTTTTGAGGATTTTCCTTTTTTTGTAATGCCTCATGGATACAAAGGTTTTATTGTTAATTCTTACTTATCTTTGGGGACTGTATTGTGGTAACCAGGTATAGACAGCTGCTTTCAGGTCTCTCTAGTTGAAATTCTCTGCTGTCATGGACTTTAAATCCTTACTACTTTAATGGCATGTGTGAATGGATGTATTGGATCTGAATCATCACTCAAGTCATCATTAAAATGGATGTTTACTGACAGTCTTGGGGCAGAGTGAAGGGTTGAATGGGTGCTGAAAACAAATTTTATTGCTCAAAGACTTTCTAAACTGTTGAGGCACAGACAGGAAACAATGACTGACATGTGTCTTCTGGTTCTCTGGAATATTTTGCCACATCAATTTCCCTGCATTAAGAAGCTAAAAATTCCTATTTAATTGTCTTAAAGCTCATTTAACACACATGATTAATTAAAAGTAGAGATTACTTGTGTGCAGTGCAGATGAGACTCTAACAGGAGATGTGCTGTTACCATCCCAGGTACAAGGGCAGGAGCACTTGCGTGTGTCCTCAGCCTGTCCTCCCTTCCAGCACTTTCTGACATCAGTCCTGGCAGATATATTAATTTTTTGGTGGCTGGTTAATCCCTTATTGTGGCAACTCCTGCCTCTGCAGGTGTTTTTACATCAGCATGTCACGTGGGACATCCCTGAACTGACAACAAATGATAAAATAACAATGAAAGCTCCCCTTGTCTTTTAAAAGAAACTTTATCTTAAAAACAAATTGAAAAGTTTTTAAAAATAATGCCTATATTCTGTGCAGTGCCTGACATGGAAATGGAAGTAAGGGTATGTTTGAAGTGTGATTAGGAGTAGGCAATGCTAATAGTAGGTACAAACTCGTGTGACCCTCTGCTCGCTGGCAGACTGGAGCTGTGCCACGGAATAATAATGCCTTTCCTGTTGCCACTTGGCATCAGAAATGTCAATACTAGACAGCTTAGTTCAGCTGTCATCCTGGTGTCCTCTTTACCATTGCACTGCTCCCTGAAGTCTTTTTGCTATAGTTTTTAAGCAGTTTTATAAATTACTCTTAATACCTCTTAAAGCAACTAGATTTGGAGTTTTAAGATTGTCTCCTTGTGTTATGGATTTTCTTGTCTGCTCCTTCACTGCTGGCACAATTCACTGCACTCAGTTTTATCTGATATTTATTAAGCACTCTGCAGAGAGTCAGGGGCTTGGATTTTAGCATAAAAGCTGCTTAACAGTCAGAGGCACAAACTAGAAACCACATGATGTCAACTGTAGAGAAGGATGAAACATCATGTGGGATACCTGTGCAAATTCCTGTACAGATAAACAGGAAACAAAAGATAGGAAAGGTGATTCCTGGGATCTTATTTCTGCTTAGTTTTATTGCTGAATGTGTGAGAACAGTGTGGTAATAGGCATTAATTTGGTTGTTACTGCACCAAAAAAGTATGTAAACAGAAATGTATAGTGTGACCAAATAATGTAGAGGAAAATAATGGTTGGAATCCTCTAGTTTGAGAGTTTGATCTTCCAGTGAGGTCAATACACCATCTTGGATTCATTTTTAATGGATCCTGGATCATAAAATCACAGAATAGTTTGGATTAGAAGGGACCTTAAAGCTCATCTAATTCCAACACCCTGCCATGAGGAGGGTTTACTTGAGAAAAAGAAAGATAGGCAAAAAAGATGTCTCTTTTCCCTTCTTTACCTTTTGCCTTAAAAAAACAAAAAAAAGTAAATTTGTGTGTAGAAGAGAAAAGGACCCCAAATCACTGTTTTTACCAGGAGCTAAAGAGCTCCTCACATCTTTTAGTGCCGTTTGAACCCAGGCTGGGTAGGGCCTTGATTTAAAAATGGGTGATAGGTAATTCAGAAGTTGCAAAGTCTAGACTGAGGTTTGAAGCCTTTCCCTTTGTCCCTGGAGCTGCAGATTCTTTCCAAGCCCATCATCCCTCTCTAAAACCCTCGAGATCATTGCAGTGCTGTAGTTTCCAGTGAGTGCAGGGCTCGAGGGAGCTGTGCATGGTGGGCAGGGCCCATGTGGAAGTGCCTGATGGAACTGTGCAGTGCTAAAATGAGTGCCTGTGATTTTAGGTAACGGTGCTCTTGCCTGCTGCTGCTCAGAGCATGAACCCCACCAACCTGTCCGTGCTCGGCAGCGTTGCCGACCCCCCCCAGCCAGTGGCTCTGGAGCAGGGGCCACAAGCAGATAGAGTAAGTGCCAGGCACCCTTTCCTTTCCATGTCCTGATTCCATTGCTCCATCATCTCAGGGGATGGCACGTGGCTGAGTGTGAGAAACTGTAGCACAGATTTGTACTGTCTTCCATAGGCTCACCATGAAATGGGGGGGGGGGTTTAGGAGAGATCATGTGTTTAATATACAGAGAAACCTGTTGTACAGATGGTTCTGTCTTGAGCAGCCACCTTAAAATTCTCCTCTCACCGTTGGAAAGTGAAGTTAACAGAAGGTGTAACACTGACTGTCACAGCAACACCCACTGGGTCTCCTTGCCAGTGTTTTCAGGCAGCTTTACTGGGGGTAGGACTTTTTGTTCTCCACCTGAGAAACCTGTGTGGATGATGAAATATGCACTGCACTTAGAATACTTAATTGTTTTTTTAGGGAAAGAAAAGGATAAACTTGAAAATTAGTGGAAGAATGCAATGCCCTCAACTGTCCTTCATGGCCCATAGTTTATATCTAGGCTCCGTGTTACCTCATCCCTTATTGATCTCTGCCTGTATGCTTTGGGGATTGGTTTTAAAAGATCATGTACCAAAGTGCAGGATTTTCTCACTTGTACAAAAGAAGTTAAAGTACAGCTTTAGGCTCTAGATAATTTCCACAGAGCCTGGACTTTGTTTCAACAGTTCTGTGAGGGTGCAGAGCTTCCCTGATTTCAGTTCCTTCTCCTGGGAACTGAGTTCTTGGCAGGGTGGAGGCAGGGAGTGACACAGAGGTGTCCTGAGCGAGGCCTCAGCAGCAGCAACACAAAACATCCCTCAGCAGTTGTTTATCAGTTGCTTCACTTCCCCTTGTCCTTCTCTCCATTGCCAAAGAAAGCAGAAAGGGTAGACTAGCAAGGACCTTCATTGCTCATCTTTGTAAGTGTAGTTTTCTTCCTGAATCAGTTTTAATGGTTTGTGAATTCTTTCCCCAGGCATCATTACCGGTGCATAACCAGGTGTTACCTCCCATGGAGGCAGTGGATGGTTCTGACCCTTTAGCACCTCTGCAGAATCAAATGGAAAGGATAGAAACAAAAGAGGAAGATGATGAGGATGAAGATGAGGATGAAGATGGGGAGGACTCTGACATGGATGAATGGGATCCAGATCCACCTCGACCCTTTGATCCCAATGATTTGTGTAAGCCTTTGAAGTAGTATTTTGTGTATTGCCTGCCCTCCCCTTTTTTCTTTCTCCTCCCTCAATAAATGGAGTTGAAAACAATTCCAATTTTAGCAGTAATGAGTAAACACCTTTATGCCCAGAAATGTGGACTCACATTGGGCTGCTTTACTGACAAGACAAGATTCTGTCTCGGGTAAAGTCTCTGAACTGCTTTGTTCTTCATTTTGCATGAGGCTGCCCTCTCTAATGTTGTAAAATCTAGACAGACTATTGGCATAATGTTCCCACAGCTGAGCCAAAGATGTTTAGAGAGAGATAAGGCTGTCTGTGAGCTGCATCTGAGTGTGTGCCTGACAATGTCCTCTCTGCCTTTGTGTGCAGGGTGTGAGGAGTGCAATAACGCACACCCCTCGGTGTGCCCCAAACACGGCCCTCTGCACCCCATCCCCAACCGGCCCGTGCTGACCCGGGCGAGGGCCAGCCTGCCCCTGGTGCTCTACATCGACAGGTTTTTGGGAGGAGTGTTCTCCAAACGGCGCATCCCGAAGCGAACACAGTTTGGGCCTGTGGAAGGGCCCCTGGTCAGACAAACCGAGCTCAAAGACTGCTACATCCATTTGAAGGTAAGGGGGGGGTGAGAGAAGAAGGGATCAGTTTGTGCCTGAGCTTTGATTTTCATGAGTTTGTCACTTTATCTTGATCGATAGACATGTTCTTTTGTTACCTCCATCAGACATGGTCATTTGTTACCTTAGTGTAACTCAGAAACACCCAAATTGCTTTGGCTCCAAATCTACTCTCTTATTCAGGGAGATGCAGTGGATGTTCTGGCTCTGTAGTGTTATGATATATAGGGTGCATAACATGGAAGGCTGTGAGTCACTCTCACATGAGCTGAAGCAGCATCTGGACATAAAAACAGCAGCCCCATCTGAGAATATTTTGCAGCCATTCTTTTGTCATGCTGTAACTTCAGTTCAAAATACTTTTCATCCCTTTCCTTTCTCTCCCCCATAAGATGAGGGGAAAGGAGAGATTTTTCTCCCCTTTCTTGTACCAAGTCCTTGATGTAGGGTAAAATGGATTTGACTGACTTTTATCTACCCATTTACTGGTTTCGTTATAGAAATTAGTCCTTTATTTACTGGAGTTCAGGCCCACAGTTTAGGAGTACTCTGATGGGCAGTGTCTGACAAGAAAGTTGTGACCATAGGCAGATTCAGCAACCCAAGAGAAGTTCAGCTAAAGAAGTGCTGCTTCCAGCTTGAGGCAATGTTATGAGTCAAGAAATGAAAGGAGAAGTGGGTCTGCCAGTAAGAAACATCTGACTGATGTTTCTGTGTCCTACTAAAGCTACAGCTCATTTATAGCCACAGGGACATACTGTGCCTGACCCTTTTAATGAATGATTCTTGTCCTTGAAACTCTTGGAAGGGTCCATCATGTCTCCCTGCTTAAATCTCTGCCCATTTTTAAGTACTTCTCTGCCTGTTTCAGGATCCCTGTTAGTAAAGAGAAAAAATGAGCTATGCCTTCATTGCTCCCCTGATGTAACAGTTGCATGGGCACAGTTGTTAGTAACTCAAATTCTTTTGAACCAGGCAGTTAATTACAGTCACGTGTAATTGGTTTTTGCTACAGGTTTCTCTTGATAAGGGTGACAGAAAAGACAGAGACTTGCAAGAGGACCTGTGGTTTGAACTTTCCAGTGAAGCTCTGTGTAACTGGATGATGTTTGTGCGTCCAGCCCAGAACCACCTGGAGCAGAACCTGGTGGCTTATCAGTATGGCCACCACATCTACTACACCACCATCAAAAACGTGGAGCCCAAGCAGGAACTCAAGGTATGACATTGCTCGTGTCTCAGGGTTCTTGTTTTCTGCTGATTAAATAATCTCTTAAGAGTTGCTGCCTAATAACTGCACGTCCAAGTGCCAGAAAATATTGCTCTAAATAGTTTTAGGGCTTTTTTTTCTCTGATGGTCTGAGTCAAATGCCACTAAAGTCAGTTAAGTAGTTGGCCACCAACTTAGGAATTTTAATAAGCTTTGGCTCAGGTAGAAAATCAGGAAGTTCAATAAAACTATGTAAATTATTTGTCTCTCACTGTCATGCTTTACACTGCATATATTTTGCTGCTGCAGTCTAATTTTTATTGCAGCAATCTTACTCTTTTTAGTTCTGAATGCCCCTTCCAGTTAGTCCTGTGTGCCCTTGACTTGTTTTTTGATGCCTTAAGTGAATACGGTCTCTCCCTTTACCTGGCTTTGCTGAAACTTTTGAAACTTTGCATGTGGAAAATTATAAAGAATATTGTGACTTCCCTGTGAGTTAGGTTTTGTTCCCTCTAAAAACATATTCATTACTTTGAGCTCAAAGCAGCAAGGCTGACTGAGATGGCCTTCAGTTTCAACATCTATTGGAGCACTGGCGGAAACTAAAAAATTTTGATATCAGGAAGTTGTTTATTGTTCTTCAAATCTCTTCTCGCACATAGACGTCAACAGTTTATCTGGAAGAACAATTGTTTTAAGCACACTCACTGAACCAGAGTTAAAGACTGTTTATACACTCTAAGAGTAGGAATCTCTGAAGCTGAATCACTAGAAATCTTATTAATCCATTTTAAATGTATCCAAACATCATTTTCTCAGCAGCTTTTAAAGCAATTTGAAATCAAACTCTAAATCTGGATGGACCTGCCTGTAGAAGCATAATTTTTCTTACTCTATGTGTTAGCAGTATCTTTTGGGGTAAAATTGGTTTGCTAATTGAAAGCCAATTGCCTGAGCTCAGTAATGGGGTTTCCTCTCCAAGTGGATGTAGAGGATTCATACAAATTTTGTCCAGAGATTGGACTGTGAGGATCAGTGTGTTCTATATTACATGTCAGGTGAGTATTCCAGGAGCTCCAGGCTTTCCTTTTTGCCCAACCAGTGAGATTCCTACAGAGTAACACACACCTTGAAATGCCACCCACCACTACTGTGAAAATGCCTATGGCCCAGTGCAAGTTAAACTTGCCTGGATTTTTCATGCTGAAAATCTTTTCATGCCTTCTCTGAGAAATTCTCTTCTAAAACTGTCCTTTTTTAATCAAACAGATGAAATGATGCAAGGATGCAAGAATTCTCAGCTAGATGTGAGCATCTGCTTTCAGGCTTTAATAAACTTTGTCTTCCTGCCTCCTGTGGTTCTAAGGCTTCCTAAATCCCTCCTATAACAAAAGTGGGTCCATCGTGCTGCCGCCTGGCAGATCTTTGTTTTGCGAAGCAGGACTATATTGCTGTAATCCTTTGGAAGCTGAGAAACAGTTGAAATGAGTCTCTGTGGATGGTGCTGCCTATTGTCTATGTAAAGAGAGCAGGAAAGAAATGTGAAATCCCCCCAGTTCAAAGTTTTTCCATTCCTCTTGGTACCACAGCTAACAGGACTCTGCTGCTACGCAGTTGGGTTTGAAGAAATTTATCTTATTTCCTTTAGAGCTACTGGTAGTCTTGTGCTAGATTAACATTCATATTGGGAGGCTAGACCTTAAAATTAAGTGGAAATGCTTTCTGAGCAAAGCTCTTCTATTCCTCAGCAGGAGCATATTGATCTCACCAGGCTTTACTATTGAGTATGAAAGCAGCAGTAAGTGAGTGGTTGAGGCAGGTGAAGTAAATGTGTTGCTTAAAACCCATTTTCAAATGAATCCCCTTTAGTTCTGGTTTTAAGTGCTCTGTTACCTTTATTCCTGCTGCAGGTGTGGTATGCTGCCTCTTATGCTGAGTTTGTGAACCAGAAGATCCATGACATTACTGAGGAGGAAAGGAAGGGTAACTTGGGCTCTTCTGTTCTCTGTGTGATGGTCATTGGGTGTTGCACTTCTTATTCTAGAGCATATGGCCTGTATAGTGCTCCCAGATTTCTGCTAGGTTGGGAAAAGTTAAACCAGATCTAGATTGGGTTATTGGAGCTTACTTCCACTAACTCTTCTCATGCTAATATTACAATAATTTAACCTTTTGCCTCAGATTCTGAAAAGCATTAGGTTGCTGCTGGGAGAGGTGTGTTTCTGTACTCAAGGTCTAATGTTGTGTCTCTGTCATAAATTGATGTGCAGCTGCTTTAGACTGATCTCCCCTAATTTGTGCCAGAGACACCATCCTGTGCTCTTCCATACAGGGTGAATTTCAGAATCACCCTGAATTTTAAGCATTTGATAGTTCATATGAATTGTCCAAGGACATTTTTGTCTCTCTGTGATGGGCTGTGGTCATGGCACACTGCAGAGGGGATAAAAGCGAAGCCAAATGGAGCAGTGGGGGGTCTTCTGCAGCCTGTCCAACCTTCAGGGGAGAGATATGACCCACAGAGGCTTGGGGAAAAAGATGAGGTGTTTAATTGGTGGGGCTGAAATGCTGCTACTGACATTTCAAATTGAACACAGTTCTCAGGGAGCAGGAGAAGAACTGGCCCTGTTACGAGTGCAATCGGCGTTTCATGAGCTCGGAGCAGCTGCAGCAGCACCTCAACTCCCACGACGAGAAGCTGGACTTCTTCAGCAGGTACTGACAGCTTTGGCTTTGTTGTGTATCACTGTGGTACTTCCCCAAACTTGCAGAAAAGGGGCTTTGCCCTACAGATCTTAGGGACCAACTCAAGAGAGAACAGGTTGGCACCAGAAGGAAAGAAGGTGGCACCAGGATCTGACTGGTGTAAGAGAATTTGTGAAAGAAGTAGCTTGAAGGAAATAAATACTCTATTGAAACCAGTGGGATTTTTTTTTTCTTATTTGGCTTTTGGGGTTTTTTTGCCAATGACTTAAAAAATTGTAGTATTTCAATACCACAATATTGAAATACTGATGTTTCTCAGATGAATGGAGATACAGAGCTTTGAGGACAAGGCTTCTAGTGCCTTGGCTCCTTGTTGGGCTGGCAAGATAGTTGATCTTATTAAAAACTGAATCTACAAACATCCATCACAGAGCATTGGTGCCTTTTTTTTCCTGAAATGTAGCGAGTGGCTCTCGCTTTGTTTTGCTTTTTTGTCACAAAATTGTTCCCTTCTAATTAGGACCTGACACCAATGGCTAAGTGCTTTTTGGGGAGGGATGTTGTGGCTCTAGATTTTAAATTGGTTTCCTTGTGCACTTGTTCCATGTTGCTGAAAATGCTTCCAACACACTGTATGCTGGGGTGTTGGAAGTGGGAGAGTTGCCATGGCAGAGGACTTGCTAGAAGCCAGTGGTCCTCTCAGTCCCATGATTACTGAAATAAATTTAATGTCTTCTGGACTTTGGTTTCTCATAAAGCACAGAATAAATAGATACCAGCCAGAAAATAGTGTCTCTGCTGCCAGAATTTCTTTGGGTTTTATTATTTACCAGAGGCCATTGTTGCAGAGTCGAATGGGTGAACAGTGATGCTGAGAAAGAATGCATAAAATCGGTAGAGAATCCAAATCCATCTCTTTTTTTGTCTCTAACCTGTGGCACTGTGTGTTCTGCAGAGCCAGAGGCCGAGGTCGTGGGCGAGGGAAGAGGAGGTTTGGACCAGGCAGACGCCCCGGGCGCCCTCCCAAATTCATGCGCATGGAAGTAACCAGTGAAAATGGGGAAAAGTGTGAAGAAGGGACACAGGTATATTTTTGGAGATGGAGAGGAGGAAAAAAATATCCTGTGGGATGTAAACTCTTGACTAAAAAAAGAATTTGGGGCATTAGTGCAAACTGAGGGTGTGCTTTGGACTTAAACCTGAGTAATTCTTGTTTTCTGACTGCGATTCTCTGCAGGAGAGCACTCCACTTCCCTTCCACTGTAAAATCACTTGCATTTCTACAGCAAGTTTCATCCCAGAACACTTAGCAGTGAGGTGGGTTATTGCAGCAGTTTAGCAGCATCACAGAAGTAATTTAGACAGTAAAACTGTAATGGGAATTTAGGTTCCTATTTGTCCTTTCTGGAATGTGAGATCAGCCTGCTCTTATAACTGCTGCTGGTGGAATTAAATCAGTTTGAGCTATGGTTCTCTGTGATGTTTTAATATTAACAGAAGGGCCTCCTGTAGGCAGGCTTATTGCAAAATGTTCTTTTGCTTGTGGCTGTTGGTTATATTCTGTAGGGACCCAATACGATGCATTCAAGTAAAATGCTAAATTCTCTGATGCTGCCCATGCTTAGGTTACCACTAAGTCCTTTTCTGAGCGGTGTCAAAAGGGATCAGTGCTCTGTTTTATGATTTAGCTGAAAGCTGATATCTGGAGTGGTAATTTTCCTCTGGCATCTCACTGGGTCATGGCTCTGTGCTGACTCAGAGGGAGGAACATGTTCTCTGCCTATGGATTCCTGCTGCAGTGCCCTAAATGCTGCATTAAGTGCAGGCTGACCCTCTCTGCAGGCTGGCATGACACCCCCCAGCCCTCTTTAGACCAAATACACATACTGCTGCTCCCAAGCCCTTCACTCTGGGGAGACAGGGCTTGCTGGGCACAATCCCACGTTAATGTGTGTGAGTGGCCTGTGGACTAGAGGTGGCTTGTGTCCTGTCAGCTTGGAGCATGGCCAGGCCTGGAGTGTCTGTGCAGTGGAGCAGGGCCACAGTGATGTCCCAAGCCTTTGGAGGTCTGCCCACTTCTCTAAAGACCAGGCACAAGTTCTGCCTGAGAACTTGAGAGCCAGGATGTGAGCACAGTCTAATGTCAGTCAGGGTGGAAACTTGTCACCTAAACCTGGGCTGGACACTTGGCTGGTGTATTGTTCTACCAAGTGTCTCTCTGGTGAGCCAGTCCTGGTTTGTAAGGGCCTCACTCCTCCTGGCACCCTGGTTTTCTTCTCCCACACCCACTTTTGTGCTTTGACAGCACCAGCCTTGAGCTGACATAATTCTGGTGCTCTGCTTCCTAGCTTGTGCTTTTAAGTTTCCTTAGTTGCATGAAGTGGTGTCAAGTAAGGATCTATGTGTGATTTTTTTCATGTAATACAGGAGAATTCCATGCCAGAGAAGTTACTGGAACTTACAGGGAAAGAATGTAGATTTTTGGCATGTGCTTCCCACTCACAGCACCCTCCCTTTTTATGGTAATTCAAAAAAGGAGGAAAACAGCTTTGTGTGATAATTGTTAGTGATGTGTGCAGCTGGGTGGACAAGAGTGTGCAGAGCTGGAAACTGGATAGAAAAACACAGTGCACAGTGTAATCACCTCATTTGTCACTCTCTAGCACTCCAGAGAGTTTGTTAGAAAGAAGACACTACTAACGACGCACTGTAATGCTTCAAAGTGTGAACGGTTTCAACGAGACAGGAATTCTCTCCTTTCCCTGTTCTGCACTAGTCACTTTGGTTGTAAGATTTCTCCCATCATCTTTGGTTAAAGCAGAAATAGCCCTGAGTGCAGAAGATTGGATAATGTTGATTTTCTGTGACTGGTCAGCGGAGTCACCCACCTACAGTGCTGCTTCCCTGGCTCTGAGCAATGTTGCTGTAGGTGAAGGTGATGTGGGAAAGCATCAGTGGACATGGCAGGAGAACTGTAGGAGCTGGGGTGTACATGTTTTGTTCATAGCTTGTGATGAAAAATGTAGAAATCCTGTTGTCTGCTGAGTGTTGTCAAAGCGTTTCTCAGTGGGTGGGGGGAATAATCACCAGTTGTATGATTTGCGGTTTCAGGACTTGCTGCATTTTTCCAGCAAGGGGCAGTTTGATGAGGCTGGACAAGCCGCCCTGAACGGGCTGGAGCAGCAGGAGCAGACTCCGGTGCCGCCGGAGCCGCAGCCGGCCCTGGAGCAGCAGGAACCCCCCGCGCTCCAGGTGCAGCCGCAGCACGAGGGCAGCGCGGGGCCCACGCAGAGCACCATGACAGCAGATGACATGAGGAGAGCCAAGCGCATCAGGGTAAGCACAGAGGGATGGCAGAGCACAGCCACCCCCCCTCCATCCACTGTAAGCCAAGGAATGCCAGACCCACCTGCCAGGAGCAGCTGCTCTGACTCTCACTGTCGTATCCACCTCCAAATCTAAAGCATCTCATTCCTAGCAGGTTTCTTAGCACTGAGGAAGGCAAGTCTCACGTTAAGAACCAATATCTCAAGCGTTAGTGAGAACTGGTCAGCAGTTGGAGCTGATTGAATTGCAGCACAGTAATTCTCTCGGGGAACGCAGTCTGTCCGAGCTGGCGAGCAGGGGGGCTGCAAACAGCCGGTGGAATTGTGGTGCTGTGGCACAGACTAATGACTTGCTCACAGCACCATCTGTGTCTCTCAGAACTCTACTGCAAAGTTGCCGAAGAGGAACCACAACCACAGTTTAGATCCACTTAAATGGTGATATTTAGTGATTAAAATTCCTTTTTGGGGTAGAAAAACGTGCTTTTGAGATCAAAACCTGCACTAAGAGCTTTGTGTACCGACAGCAAACACTTTGAGCCTGAGCTCTGTGTCAGCTGGGTGAGCTGTTTTTTTCTCTACTATGTGTGGGAGGGAAATGATTCGAGCAAATAATCCTTGAAGTTGTGAAACTGGGAGATGGGTTTATTTAGCTTAAAATCTTTTCTTTTTTCTTCCGTGTGTAAAATTTGGATTAAAGAAAGGAACAGCTGCAATGGGGGTAAGAGTTCATTTTTAGGGGATGAGAAAGGATTAGGAAAGAGTTGAGTTGTTCTGCGTAGGAAGATGTTGAGACAAATTTTGCTTGCAGTTTATAGCAATACACGTGCAAGGCCAGTGGTGGTGTTACCCCAAAAATGCACATCTTGAAGGAAGGATTTGGCTTGGGCACACTAAGACTGAACAGTTTTTAACCATCTAAAGTGCTTGCAGTCTCTGAATGACAAGGTTCTACCAGTAATTTCATTTTCATAGATTAAAATCTTGAGAGATTTTTACTGAATGTATTGAAGGGAAGATAACAGAGTACAAAGAGAGATGCTGAGTTTTTGTCAGTAAAGAGCATGGGGAATGGACTGCTTACAGTGTGCTACAGCTTCCTCAGTAAGAAGAGAAAGTCTTGGCCATTTCCCTGAACTTTGGAACCCAAGATACGAACTTCAAATCTTCTGAAATAGTGAATATGGGAAGAAAGGTACAGAAATTCTGAAGTTACTTGTCTTGTGACTTAGCTTGGAAATTCATCACAAACAGATGACAGCTAAGAGGGTGCAGTGGTGGTGTAGTGACACGTTTGTCCCTCAAATCTTCCTAACTTCCCATGCATCTGGCAGCTCGTGTTCAGCAGAGTTCTGGAGGTGTTTCAAGCCAGAAGCATTGGCAGAATGGCAAACGGATGGTTGCACAGACCCTTCCATATTGCATCAGACTGTGAGCAATGAGCACTGAGTTAAGGCTAAACCAGCAAGCATTATTTTCTAAGCACTGAAAAATCACCCTCTGAACTCTCACTCAGCTCAGCTATTCACAGCACCTGCTTATACTAATGTGTACTTAATAATATAAGCAAGCAAACATTTGGATTTTAGATGTGTAGTATACATTATTCACTTCCAAAGAAAAGGTAGAAAGTCCTGACTCCTTGCTATAATCCAGAGACTTGTGTAGCTCTACTTCTTTATTATCATATAGGATTTAATTATCAAAAACAATCATTCTTTGGGAATTGCTTCAGCTTTTCTAAGGTTTAAGGCAGAGTGTTTTCATTCTAGCTGGAAGCAGTTATCTGTGGTGCCCCAGGATTCAAGTCCTGATGGGATCAGTTAATTTTTCAGCCTCTGCTTTATAGCCTGTGGAGTTTCCTTGGAGATCAGACCTTAACCGTGGCAGTTGTGTCCCCAGCATTGCAAAGAGATACACCCACCCTTCGAGATACTCTTTTAACACATTAGAGGACCATAGTGGTGCACAGCCAAAATGAATATTTGTTTTTAATTCAGTTGCGGGCAGTATCTGAAGTGTCTATGTGCTGATGCCAGAACCTGGCAGGGATAGAGATATGATTTGGAAAGCACAGTCACTTCCTTCGTGCTGAAAGAAATGCAACCAGTTGTGTAACAAGGAGTACAGCCAGTAAGATGAGGTTAGAAAAAGTCCCTTCTTAACTTTTTCACTCTTCTAATCCCTGCCCTATTGTCATCCTGCCCTAATTATTCCCTTCTGCTGAAAGGTTCTCACAGTGGCTCTGCCATGCACTGCATCATTGTAATCAGCCCCGGGGAACAGGAAAGGTCACAAAACACCTTCAAGATTATCTGTGGGTTTTATCTTTGCCCTTTAACTCCTCTTGAGCAGTTACTAACTACAGAGTAAACCTTGCAGGTCTGTTTAGTGTTTCCTGAGGCAAAACCCTCAAAGGAGTAAACTCTAGTTAGAAGAGCTGGCTCTTGTAGTGACCTGCAGAAGTCAAGGCTTCTGTTTTCAAGTCCATTGCATAACATAAGTATTTTTCTCTCCTTCAATGCTGCCTGCTCAGCTGGAGCTGCAGGTAGGTTTGGGTTTTTGTTTCATTGGGTTTTTGCTGTATCTAATCCAATGGGACATACCAACATCGCCTTCCATTGTTTTGTCCAGCTCCTGTTTAGTGTTTCCTGATTGACCCCACACTGTAAATTGTCACATTTGTTCTTCTTGAAGCAACCACTGTCCAGAACTAAGTGTTACCTGAAAAACTATTTGCAGAACTCTAGTTCTTTTCATGCCAATTAATTGCAAATTTAAGGTGGATATTATAGGAGTAAATTGCTTGGGTGAAGAACTGTAATATTCATCTTAAAGTTTTGGAGGATTTGTTTGCACAATTGTTTGTGCTGGATTAATATTATGAGTTAATGAGACAACACTTAGTTCTCTTTTTCTGTTTTTATAGTTGATAGTTATCTAGCCAAAGAGCAGTAAAACAGTTCACCCTTCTGTAGCCCTTGGATAGCAGTGGGACTGTGTTGAGTTATCCCGCTGTCTTCCCACTCAGCTCCCGGGTAAGGTACCAAATGATACCAGTGATACCAGATAAGGTACCAGTGATCAAATAGCAAATTCATAGTGCAGTTCAGGACTTGAAGTGCATTTCTTCAACTATATATGTTTTATTAGCATATCCCTGTGGTTCAGGGGAACTTATGTACTCATGACTCCATACAGCATATTAGTTTTTACGCAGCACGTCTGTCTTTCCAGTTCCTGGGGTGACTTACAGCAGATCTCTGTATTTCCCATTGTCTCACTTGTAAAATGGAGAATGGAGATGATGACAGTTCATTTGGAGCTCCTGTATGAAACTGTTAGGTTTTTGTGTAACTCCCCCGTTCCTTTCCTGGAATGGAAGTCTAGGTTTGCCTCTGCAGTTCAGATGGTGAAAAGGATCTTTCAGGCTCATGAATTTAATCCTTAACACAGCATTTCACAGTATTCCCAAGCTGTTCCCTCATTGCAGCAGAAGAGCTCCTAACTTCACTTATTCAATGTCAGCTGTTGGCAGGCACTTAAGGGACACAGCAAATGTCAGCTGTGTCAGCTGTCACATTCCCACAAGGAAAGGAGAGAGGAAACCAGGGGAATCTTTTTTCAGAAGTCTTGAACGTAGCTCAGGGAAAAGTGGGTCATATGGAACATGTGTGAGCAGGGGTATCAGCAATGTCTAGTGCTATTTAGAATCACGGAATGGTTTGGGTTGAAAGAGACCTTAAAGCTCATCTTGTTCCACCCCCTGCCATGGGCAGGGACACCTTCCACTAGCCCAGGTTGCCCCAAGCCCTGTCCAACCTGGCCTTGGACACTTCCAGGGATGGGGCAGCCACAGCTTCTCTGGGCAACCTGTGCCAGGGCCTCCCCACCCTCACAGCCAAGAATTCCTTCCTAATATCCCATCTTACCATGCCCTCCAGGTTATTTCTCTGGCTTCTGTGTGTAACATGTGAAAAGAGAAGACATCGATAAATGACGATTTATGGATCTTAATTTGGAGAAGAGTAGATAATGCTTAGAGTTAATGCTTAGAGCATTGCACTGTACTTGGAGTGCAGTATGGGTGACAGTGTGCTGTGAGATTTTATACATGCAGAGGCACCACCTAATTCCAGCTTTCCAATTATCCAACATGAAATTTTAATCCTGTATTGAAATGCAGATGCAGGACACACTTCCCTCTTTCTACAGGCAACAGGTACAGGAGCATCTGTTCCTCCAGCAGACACTGCTGGATCAGGACTGGGATGGCTCTATCTGAAAGGGAGAAGGGGAAGAGAGAATAATCAGGAAATGTCACAGAAAAGGTAGAGTGAAGGAAAACACACCAAAACAAAATAGGGGCTGAGAAGAGATGTTGTGCACAGTAAGAGTGGAGAACTGCTCACAAGTTGTTACCTGCTGTTCCTAAACCTGCCATTCTGCCCCTGCTGTCATGTTTTGAAACACAGTAGCACCTCTTGAATGTATGCTCCAGCAGAAGTTTTCCAGGCAATGCTAAACCCCAGCTGCACGTCTCTGTGGTGATCTTTGGTGAGAAGGTGATGTAAAGGGCTGTGGAATTTCATAAGCCCTGCTCCCGAGGGAAACAGGGCACTGGCTCACCGTCCCTTTTTATGGTGGCTGAACTTGTGACCTGATCCCCCAAAACCAGTGGGAATTGCAGCTTTTCTCAGGCCCAGGTCTGTACTGCAGAGAGGACTTGTCTTTAGCATGGCATTTTTCTGTAAAATAAGCTAAATAGAAGAAATCAGGGATGGAGAGGAAACTCTGCACTGTGTTCTGCTAACTCAGGGTGTAACTGCAGGTATGTCCCCTGACTCCTGCCTGCCACAGCCTCCCCTGCTGTGAAATGGAGACAGGATATGATGCAACATAACTTTTTGAAGTGTAGGTTCACTGCTCATCTGGTATATCTAATCCTGAAAATATCTGGATGTGGAATCTATCCCTAAAGAAGCTAAAGGTATCTGGGATGTTTCTTTCAGAATGCAGCTCTGCAGCACCTGTTCATCCGGAAATCCTTCCGGCCTTTCAAATGCCTGCAGTGTGGGAAGGCCTTCCGGGAGAAGGACAAGCTGGATCAGCACCTGCGCTTCCACGGCCGGGAGGGGAACTGCCCCCTGACCTGCGACATCTGCAACAAGGGCTTCATCAACAGTGGTGCCCTTGAGAGCCACATGAAGTTCCACATGGACCAGAAAACCTACTCCTGCATCTTCTGCCCCGAGTCCTTTGACCGCCTGGATCTGCTCAAAGACCACGTGGCCATCCATGTCAACGACGGCTATTTCACCTGCCCCACCTGTAAGAAACGCTTCCCAGATTTCATCCAGGTGAGGTGCCCTGCTGATTTGAAGCACTGCTATGGATTTTTTAGCCCTCTCCCTGTGAAATGCTGCACAGGAGTTCCTTTGCACATGATGAAGGGATCCACATCTGTCAGAAATTGAAAAGGAAGATGACCAAGCACTTGTAGATGTTGTCTTATGCCGCTGAAGTGCTCTGTCCACTCAGTCATCAGATGTGGTGCTTCAGTCTGGCATTTGAAGACACTGTACTGCAGGATGCTGGGTCCCTTATTCCCCAGAAATGCCCAAAGCAGAGGCCCTGGTTACCACAGCTCCACAAAAAGGGATTGTCTTTTGCCGTACTCAGCTTGTACTTGAACATACCTTGTCCTTCGTCATTAGAACTCTGAACAAAAAAAAACAGTGGTTTTTCGTCTTTAATCCCTTGCCTGGTTTTTGTCAGGATAATTCATTTAAACAGCTTGCAGAAATGCCAGAACAGATCAGGATACTCTGCTTCCTGACTTCCCCCCTGGGCTTCAGCTGGGCACTTTGTTCTCCTCCCCTGCACGCTGCTTAGGACTGCAATGGAGCAGTGGGTAATGCAGCTACTCTGTGCAGTGAGCAGAGCACTTGGGGAAGGTCATTAATAGAATTTAAAGATTCTATTTCTGTGTCCAGTAAGAGAAAAACTGAGACGTACCATTAATATATTCATTTTTCTTCCTAGGGACAAAGCAGTTGATGTGTCTTACTGAGCAGCCTGACTGAAATTGAAATGTAGAAAGCCAGTTTGTATTAGTAATAGGAACTGATAGACTGTCCACTAGGCTAAAGAGGAAAGGATGGGGAAAAGTGATTTACTAATACAATTCCATCTTGGCAGAAGCCCTTTATCTTCTGTAAATGTTGCACAAGGAAAAATGTTGATGATTCAGAAATGCTGTACTGCAACTTAATTCCCCATAAACTTTCCCATGCAAATGATCAAGTCAGAAGAAGGATCCATGGCTTTTTTCCAGCTATGCAGCTATATTTTTGAAATTTAACAATGATTATTTTCTCTTCTTGCTATATGAATAATCATGTCTAGTCACTGCTGCCTACTTAAATACTTTTATGTGGAACACATAAAGACACCAAGTTGTTCCATGTATGATCAGTATTAGAATATGGTAGAGATTTAATTAGAGATCTGTTTCTCGAGTAGTGCTTGCATTTCAAATGTCAAACCTCATTAGTTCCTTTATTTGGGTGGGGGGAACCCCACTAGAAGTTTGAAGTGGTCAAGGATAGTCCCAGAGTATGGAGAAGTAATTGCCATTCAGGAATGGTGTGCAAATGCTTTTCTGATTAAGGCTCTTTTTTTTTGCCAATTGTAATTGCACTCTCATTCTCTCTGATTGAAAGGAATTAGTCCCTGCATTTAGATTTCTTACAAATGAAGGGAAGATAATGAACCTCAGATGAATGTGTTCACTCGAGGGTGATTCAGTACAACATCGTGGACCTTCGCTGCCCATTAAGTGCAACTGTGCAATAACTGATGCCTTCAAGAATCAATCTTGAAGAAATCAAATCATCCATCCATAAAGATGTTATGGCTTTATAGAAACTATTGTTGAGATATCTGTTCTGATCAAATACTTTTTAAACCAAAACAGATTAGACAACTTCAAAACCTTTTTCCTTTCTTTCTTATTGCGAAGGGTTTCCCAGACTGTTTTACCACTCACTTCTCTCTTGCATAAGCTCCATTTTTGTATGATCTGCCATTCCAGGTCAAGAAGCACGTGCGCAGTTTCCACTCTGAGAAGATTTACCAGTGCACAGAGTGTGACAAGGCTTTCTGCCGCCCCGACAAGCTGCGGCTCCACATGCTGCGGCACTCGGACCGCAAGGACTTCCTGTGCTCCACCTGTGGCAAGCAGTTCAAGGTGAGGTGGCTCTTGGCTGGACCATTCCTGATACAACAAACACCATTTCTTGCCCTCCTTCAAGTAGATAAGCTCATGTTCTCAAAGGTGGAAGCAAATAATATGTGTAAACATGGTAGACTTGCCTGCAAGTTGCACGTACTGCTTGGTGTTGTATGTGAGCTACAACATTCATTCCTAAGGGGTAAGGCCACCCCAGCATCTTATTTCAAACAGATCTTATTTCTAATAATTTAACAGCAAAGGAACTTTCTATCTGCTCATTAAGAACTAGATCATGATTCAACTCTACTAGCAGGTGCTTGGGTTGTATTGTTTATATCAGTTCAGTAAAGAAACTGCTTGCTGATACCAGTGAATTAATCTTATTCCTGACAGAGGTGCCTGTGTCCATGGCATCCATCCTGTCAGCATGTCATCCAGATGCCTTTCCAAATCCCACCAGAACAGATGGAGCGGACTGTGAGCCAGGTAAACTGCGGTGGCAGCAGCCTGCTCCTTGTCACTGAGCTTGTAATGGGACACTGAGGGACTGGACGCTTTTGGGTGAAGAAACACATTTTTCTGAGAGGAAAAGCTGGAGCGAGATCCCTGAAAACTCACACTCATGACAGGTCATAAGGCAGTCACTGGGGTGGTGCTGACATTTTTCTCCCTGATTGCTCTTTCCCAGAGGAAGGACAAGCTGCGGGAGCACATGCAGAGGATGCACAACCCGGAGAGGGAGGCCAAGAAGGCCGATCGGATCAGCCGCTCGAAAACCTTCAAGCCCCGGATCGCGTCCACCGACTACGAGAGCTTCATGTTCAAGTGCCGCCTCTGCATGATGGGCTTCCGCCGCAGGGGCATGTTGGTGAGCGCCTGGCTGCTCCTACAGCCTCCTGCTCTATCCTGATCAATAGTTAAAGAGGGAAGATGGAATTCCAGTGGTTGGAATGCAATGGTCATAGAAGGCTTTGGGCTGGAAGGGACCTTAAAGCTCATCTTACTCCAATCCCCTGCCATGGGCAGGGACACCTTCCACTAGACCAGTTTGATCAGAGCCCTGTCCAGCCTGGTCTTATCCAGCCAGGATGCTGTGAAACAGGGTGAATTTTATAGCTGAGTTAAGACGATACATCTTTTTTTAAACCTGTGTGTCTTATCTCCTCAGAAAATGTGTCTTTGCACATTTCACTGCCTGCCTTGTGTGTCTGGTTGTCACTCCCATATATCAACGCTAAGTAATGCTGACTGATGTATAATGTATTTAACAGAACATGAGATGAAAATATTGCCTACTTCAGCCTTACAGCTTCAGTTTTCTTACTCTCTTTCCTGTGTTTTGTTTCTCCCCCTTCTTGAGGACCTCTCCTGGCCATGCCCTGTCACTGCCTCTGGGTGAAGGCTGTATTGCAGCAAGAGATGTTGTTTGCAGAGGTTTCATGGGGGCTGTGATCTGGGCAGAGGCCCTTTACACTACCTCACTCTCAGCTGCAAGACAGTTCTGGCAAGCTATTTTACCCCTTCCCATCTTATTTTGATTAGAGAAACTGTAAATGAGATCTAGCAAGACCACATTTACCTTCAGCAGCCTACTGTGAGTGCACAACACCCCTTGCAGCAGCAAATGCTTCTGGTGCTGCTGACTTGCATCATTCACTTATCATTCACTTCCGCTTTGGTTGTTATCCATGTCTGGGAGAAGCAGCAATTGTTTGGTTTTTAGCTGTAATATGTTCCTGTTCTCTGTGTTTCTTTTTCCTAAGGTGAATCATTTATCAAAGAGACATCCGGACATGAAAATAGAAGAGGTGCCAGAGCTCACATTGCCCATCATCAAACCCAACAGAGATTACTTCTGTCAGTACTGTGATAAGGTGTGTGGGAAGTCACCCCTCAGAGGACAGCTCAGTCCCAGACCTGTATGCAGCCAATTCGTCTCTGTACAGAAATCTCTGGCAGGGTTTGTAGCTTTCTCTGAGGTGGTTGCCAGCAACATTCTGCTGTACTGTCCAAAAAAAATGAAGACAAAATGCACTTAGGCCAAGGCAGTGGAATGCTAATTGAAAACTGCAGTTATCCTTTTCTGCTATCTTTGGCATTGGAAAACAAATACTGTGATCCAGCAAACAGTCACTGACTCTTAGTCCTGTGTCAGCCCAGGATTAAGTATCCTGTCTGTCTATAGTTCCTGAACGCTAAGTTCTTTTGGTTTCTGTATCACTCCTAAAAGTCTAACTCCTTTTATTGTAAGCTGCTTATTTAGTCACATGCCAGTAATTCCAGTGTTCAGTGGAGCCTGAAGCTGTTTCTGCAGTGCCTTTGCGTTCCCGCTCTTATTCCCTGGCCTTTGCTTTTTGTGCATGGGGGCATCTATTTACCAGGCAGTGTATTTTAAATGTCCTTATCCTCAGTATATTCTTCTGTGATGCTTCCTTTCTTTTCTTTGAAGGGAGAAAAAATAGTTTTAAATAATATTACAGAATATTCATTTGTTGCTGTGCCTAAAAAGAATTAAAAAATATGTCAATCACCAAACTAAAACAGTTTGATGCTTTGTGTGTGAGGAGAGTGGAGGCATCAATCCTCATAACAAATGAACATTGGGCAAATTACAGCTTTGATGATCAGTGGCTTCTCTTACATTTGACCTTCAAGTACCAGGCAAAAAGGGTTTTCCTCTTGCCTCCTTGTCCTGCTCTGATTCTGGTTGTGGCATACAGTATGTTCTCAAAAGGCTTCTGTGTGCTACACAAGAAGTTAGTTGTTTGTTTTACAGATTGATTAAGCACTGGAAGGTTTATATATGTTCATGCATTATGTTGTAATTTTGGGGGGATATAACTAAACATAGAGAATCACAGAATATGCTGAGCTGGGAGGGACCCATCAGGATCATCAAGTCCAATTTCTGGCCCAGTGCAGGACACCTTGGCAATCCCACCATGTGCCTGAGAGTGTTGTCCAAACACTTCTTGAACTCAGACAGGCTTGGGGCTGTGACCACTGCCCTGCCCAGACACACACAGACCTTCCAGATCAAGATAACTGGTAGCTGTTTTCTGTGCAGACATCAGCAGTGCGCCGTTTTAATTCCAAATCTTTCCCCTGCAGGTGTACAAGAGTGCCAGCAAACGCAAAGCACACATCCTGAAGAACCATCCTGGTGCTGAGCTGCCTCCAAGCATCCGGAAGCTGCGCCCTGCGGGCCCGGGAGAGCCGGATCCCATGCTGAGCACCCACACCCAGCTCACAGGCACCATTGCCACCCCTCCCGTGTGCTGCCCTCACTGCTCCAAGCAGTACAGCAGTAAGGTACGAGGCATTTTGGCCCCAAAAGGCACAGCCTGTTCCTCGTGATGCTCTTTCACCACAGCCCCTGTCACCTGTCACTCTTAGTCTGAGTCAGAGCGCTGGTGTCATGGCGTGTGCTGACAATGCAGTTACAGCCTGCTTGTTTTAGGGCTAAAAGGTTCCCTGAATAGAGGACACAAGCTTGAAAGAAGGAATGGAAAAGTTATCAGACCGTGATCACAAATGGAAAGGCTTGGAAACTGCTCACTGACAGTTACAAGGGAGAGGAGTGGGGAAACAAAACACAGAAAAGATGACCTTCGGAAAAAGTCCCCAAAATACTTGGCTGTGTTGGGGTAAAAAGCTACTGGATGTGCTGTTTGGGGCAATATTTCAGTGTCAGGTAGCTCTAATCAGCAGCAGCTTTCTGATCCTTGTTTCTTGACCAGAGCATCCCATAGTGTGAATCTTGATGGTGCCTCACTGAGGGAAACCTAAAAGGTGCAGTTGCCTGGACTGGTGGATTTCACAGAATCCCAAAACATGCTGAGTTGGAAGGGCCCCACCGGGATCATCGAGTCCAACCCTCAGCCCTGTACAGGCCCATCCCCAGGAGTCACCCCCTGTGCCCCAGAGGATCATCCAAACCCTCCTGGAGCTCTGGCACCCTTGGTGCTGTGCCCACTGCCCTGGGGAGCCTGGGCAGTGCCCAACCAGCCTCATTTCCCATGGCCCCAAGCAGTGTTCCTGCCCATCCTCCTAACACTGTTTGTTTCTGTAGACAAAGATGGTACAACACATCCGTAAGAAGCACCCAGAGTTCGCTCAGCTCCCGAACACGATCCACGCCCCGCTGGCCACGGCCGTCATCAGCTCCACCCCCGCTGTCCTGGCCACCGACAGCAGCACCGGCGAGACCGTCGTGGTAAGGGCTGCAGGCTGGGGGGGGACAGCCACAGCACAGGCCCTCTGGTATTAGTGATCTTACTTTATTTGGCAGACATCATTTTAAAGGCTGTGTTAGGACATGATTTGAGATCATGTCTGGTTTTGAGTCTGGTTTAGTTTTGCTCTGCCAGGAACTGTGTATTTCTTTCTGGAGCTCTTAAGGATTTGCCTTTTTTCCCTAGCTCCATTCCCTTCTTTCATTCAGACCTACTGATTCCACATAATACATTCACACATGCCTAATGAACTCAGAAACACACATCTCATGGATTTTCACTGGCTGGGACTACTCCCCTGAGGTATTTGCAGTTCTTGGGATCGAGAGAACATGTTTAACAGTGACTGGGAACTGGATCCAGCCGTGTTCAGGGAGTCAAGATCTCTGCAGGCCTTTGGGCAGTGCAGCACTGACTGATATGAATCTCCAGTGGCTAATCTCTGTTAATACATCAGCTGCCACAGAAGTGAAAGCTGAGACTAGAAAATCTGACATGTATCCCTCAGGAGTGCTGGGATGCTGCATAGTTGTAGAAATCCTATTGATCACAGTTTAAAACTGTTTGAAGACTAAGTAGATAAAAGACTGTTTTGCTTGAAAAATGAGAGGTTCAATCAGGATGCTGTTGGCTTCATACACCTCACTAATTAGATATTAAATGGTTTTACTTACTTCAGAAATACAGTTGTCAAGAAAAGTATCAGTCTGGAGGAGGAAAGATGGAATATGACCATGAAGCACTTTTTGACTTGGAAATGAAGTCAGCTCCTTACAAATGCAGGACTTTTGTTGTCTAATAGAATATTGTTAAGTCAGAAGGTTAAAATAATTATTTTTATTATGGTATGTTAAGTTAGCCCTTAATGGTCCTCTAGTGGATGATCCCTGGTGATTACTTATGACCCCAACCTCTGCACACATTGAGCTCTTGTAAATAAATGACCAGGCCCAAGGTAAGTGTAAATTCAGTGAGAGGAAAGAACTACAGCCCTGCAAAAGTGCATCAATATGTGAAGATGGTCTGTATCTCTCTCCTTCTCCCTGCTCAGACAACAGATTTACTGACCCAGGCCATGACAGAGATATCCCAGACCCTCACCACAGACTACCGGACTCCCCAGGGGGATTACCAGCGCATCCAGTACATCCCTGTGTCCCAGTCCACAACTGGCTTGCAGCAGCCTCAGCACATACAGCTGCAGGTTGTTCAAGTGGCCCAGGTGAGTAACCTGCTGGGGGTCTTGCTGTGCTTTTGCCCCCTTCCACACCAAACCTGTGCATTCTTGAGGCTGTAGCACTCAGAAGTTTGTTAAGGAGTAGTTACATGTCGTAGTTTGGCCTAGGCCTTCCTTGGTGACCAGCTTGTAACCAAGGAAGTGCCCAGATTTACCCGGTATTCCCTACGATTTTTACGTAAACTGGGGTATAAGAAGAAGGGAGGAAAGGCCTTGGCTCTCTTTCCTTCTGGCGGCTTTGGAGGTGCAGATCTCCCTGTGTTGAGTCTGTCGGCTTGGAGAGTGAGGCCTGGTAAGGCCTTGTCGACCTTGGGAGGCAGAGGCTGCTGGCAGTCGCTCCAACGTGACTCTCCCTTGTCCCAAGGAGAGTAGTAAGATATTCTCTGCTAATTCTTTTAGTTGATAGACCTTGGGCTACTGATCGGGATAATATATATATATATATATTATTTTGGTTTTTGTTCTTCCCTTCCCCTTTCCCTTTTCCCTGTGAAATTGTATATATATTTCAACTGTACATAAGTGTAAATATATTTATATATATATTGCTTTGTCTCTCTCTCGTTTTCGGTTCTTTTGGTTTTTTTTCCCCCTCTTCTCCCTTGGTTTGGGGTGGGGGGGGGACTCCTTGTGGTAAGGTTTGGAGACTTGGCAGGAAGCCAGTTCCAAACCATAACATTACAAAAGGTGGTGCAGACCATTTCTTACAGATAAATCAATTGATAATGCTTAGGGTTCCCTTCATAAGCATCGTGTACTGGGCATAAATAGTCCTGCCAGCCTTGGTCAGCTTGCTGGAGACATACCAACACAGTCTTGACTTAATTCTCCCCATCTGGGCACCCTCGCTCGAGTCTGCTCCAGGAACGTTTTCCAGCAACTGGAAAAGTGGGTCAGTGGGTGACCTGTTTTCTGCAGTTCAAGACTAATTTGTACTTCCTTGTTCTTAGTGAACCAGAGCCAAAATTTGGGAGTACAGAGAGTGCTTGCTTGTTCCCTTCATATCATCTATTAGAATATTCATTCCCTGATGATCAACAGCCTCCTAAAAATAAAACCAGAGTAACTGAGCAAGATATCTCAGGCAGCTGTAAGGAATCACTGTAGCCTTCAAGTCTGTTATCCACTGGGTAAAGCTGAAACTACCATTTGTTTGGATTTGAATCTGAAATTCTGTGTTCTCTCTGGCCCCTCGTTACAAATCAGGTTATGAATTGGATTAATAAAGGTCTAAACAATGGCCCCAGTTAATAGTGACTGTGGCTGTTGTAACCATACAAGAGCATGAGTACTGATTCCTGCAGTATTATTAATATTATCAAGACCTTAATTTTATCAAGACCTGAGACTTGTAATTAAGTTACTGCAATTGGTATCATTAGCAGGTGTTGTTCAAAAAATCCATTAAAAGCCTCTGGCCCCTTGTCTTGATGCAGACCTATGCCAAACTACAGAATTGGATATGCAGATCTCAAGTATGTGAACATTTTATAGAAAGATGCTAATCCTGGTTTTCAGACTGGTCACTGCCACAAGCAGCTTGTATGAGCTCAGACAAGTCCTTACCATTGAGATCACCGAGATAAAACCACCTCTGTGCCATTATGTCTGTTAAATGTACTTTACCTCCCAGGAGTGCAAAGAAACTCAACAGGCTTGAGCAGGAGTGCTCCACTACAGCTCCTACCTCAGACCTTGTGTCCCAGAAGAGATTTACATGGCTGCTTCTGTAAAGAATTTGAAATATGCACCTCTGCTTATTTTTTTTCCCCAGGCTACCTCACCTCACCAGTCCCAGCACTCCACAGTGGACGTTGGGCAGCTCCATGACCCTCAGACATACACCCAACATGCCATCCAGGTGCAGCACATCCAGGTCACAGAGCCATCGCCAGCAGCTCAGTCATCACCACAGGTACTTCCCTCTTCTCTTGCAGGGAATCTTTTCCCTGCCAGCCTGTTCCGCTGACATATTGCATGTGCTGAGGCAGGAGATGGTCTTCTCTATGTCACTTAAAGGACCACACATGAAATGACTCTCACATGAACATCTCTGAGATCATCGAGTAGTTCCCAGGTGTCCCAGGATGTATGAGGGTGTTTTGTTGTGGTTTTGTTTGGGGTGTTTGTTGTGTGGGTTTTTTGCTGGTTTTTTTTTCCCCTAAGTTAGAGATAAATAGTTGGGAACTGACAAATTTTGCAGCTTAAATAGAGTTTGTTGGTTAAAATATGTAAATGGAAACTGGCATTCCTCAAATATTTGAAGTGCAGCTCTTTGTTCTCTTGGGTAGAATTTAGCCTCTAATCTCCATTCTCTGCCACAGACTCACTTGGGCAAACAACATTTCTGTTTTTCCTGGTCTGTGCTTACTGGCCATAAAGTGAAGCAAGTTAGAGGAGAGAGAGAAGAGTTTTGCATTTCTTATGCTTGATGTGCTCTGGAACCCACCCTGTGTTTTCCCTTTGTAAGAAGGATGTGTCTGGAAGAGCACAGAGCTATGCAATCCTTACCACACCAAGAACACTTACACCTTTTTTTTCTTTAGGTTGGAGGTCAGCCTTTGAGTCCCTCCTCGCAACAACCCCAGCAGGAACTCAGCCCTTCACAGATGCAGACTGTGACACCGACACCAAACCAAGGCCTGCAGCAGCAGCAGGGCTCCTCAGTCCAGCACACATATCTCCCCAGCACTTGGAACTCCTTTCGGAGCTACTGTGAGTGTCACAGTACTCTCACTAGTTGCCTGGCCAGTGTGTGTGACTAATATGTGCCCCAGCTACCAAACAGGATTGTGTTTTCAGAGCTCATTATGCTTTGTGGTTAATATTCATAGAGATCAGGAAGATAGAGTTTCAGACAAATGCAGATGGTTGTTGTAGCTCTTCTGCCGTAGGTCCATCCTGATTCCATATGTGGTTTGGGCAGGCATACTGGGCTCCTTTATTCCAAAGAACTTGCACTCAGCAAGAATCCATATGCTGGACAGCAGCTAGTTCAGATTTGGATGAGTGCCTGAAAGAACTGTACAGAACAGGAGGGTGACAGGAGACGATTTCTCATGTCCAGGCAGCTCTGGATGGTAATTCTGTGATGACTTGGGTCAGAACAAGGTGTGTTGTCTCCGCAGGAGTTGCCCAATCTGCAGCTGGTGTTACCTGGCATAATTCTGTTGAGGCCTGTGGAGTTTGACAGGGCTTTACAGCACCTGAATTTCTGTTCAACACCCACTGTTTCAGACTTTATATCTTACTGACGTAAGACATGATCTTTCAAAGTTGTCTTTGAGTTTGATTCAAAGTCTTGATTCTCCAATTTCTATGTTTTAGCATCAGAGATTCAGATGATGACCATCCCCCAAGGGCAGTACGTGATCACAGAGACCGCTGTGGGTACCCCGGTCACCACTGTCAACACGGGGCAAGTGAAAGCAGTTACTCAGGTAAGGAAAACAATCATGGCCGTTTTTTCATCCAGAATAATACATCAGACGTAAAGTCTTCAGCTTGAAGGTTAAAGCAATGCCAAATTGATGACTGGGGCACAGAGTAAAGCATAATGTGGTACCTAAAGAGGTCCAGATTGCACAGTACAGTCTGTGTGTAGCCATTTACAGAGCCCACACTGTCTGGCCCTTGTGTGTATGACTCCTTCCAGCTTAAAGTGTTCTTTTACTCACATTTGCAGGACAAAGTATTATTTAGTGGTACTGCTTAGTCTTAAAAATATTTATGATTAAGCTGTATGTATTAAACCAAATTTCAGAGCAGCTTCTGGGAACATTTTGATAGCTTGTTGTTATCTGTAAGGTTACAAAATAAGAGGAGTTCCTGCTGTCTTGTCTTGTAAGCAATCCAGCACAAGGAGGCAGGCAGGCCATTGCACTGTGTTGGTACTGGACACTGGGAGTGCAACTTCTGCTAGAATACATGGAATATAGAAAAAACCTTGCAGAATACTTGTATTCAAAATTGTTACTTTAATCTGAAGTGATGGGTTTTGTGTAATGAGTTTAACAATTCATAAATTATCCAAATGCCAAGTCCAATGTCCTTCAAATCAAAGGACAAGCGTTATGTTGCTCTCAAATACAGTTAAATGAAAGAGTTTCATTTCCAAGTTCCTTGTTCATCCCAAAATACCTTCCAGCAGACTATTAGAACAGAAGATACAATGATCAGTAATCATTTCTGTTCCCCCTGCAGACTCACTATGTGATCTCGGAGGGTCAGCCCGACCTGGACAAACAAACGTCCTCGCTGCCCAGCGAGGTGCAGGTGGGTGTTTCCCAGCCCCCGGTGCCCCCGGAGCCCCTGGAGTCCCAGCCGAGCAGCCAACAGCAAACCACTCAGTACATCATCACCACCACCACCAACGGCAGCGGGGGCAGTGAGGTGCACATCACCAAACCCAGGACTTTCTCAGCAGAACACGAGTGAAGCAGCCCCACGGTGTCATCTACTTGTCTTGTCACATCCCTGGCAGCCCAGATGTGGGGGTACCCTGGGGCTCCGTATGTTTTGATCTCTGTTCACTTACCTTCAACTAAAATCTTGGAGCTCTTGTTAATGCTTTAAGAGGGTTTAAGTCCCCAGCGACCATGAAGTACACTCAAAATCCTTCTGGGATGCTTTTATGCAGCTTTTAACAAAAAGGACAAGAGAAATGAAACCTCTCCTTGCCCTGGATTTTATTTTTGGCATGTCTGCTGACCCTTATTTTCCTTTTTGGAAGTGTCTCCAGCGAACAACTTTTTATTTCAACTGTATGGGAAAAGCTTGCCTAGCTGGAGGCATCCTGGCAGATTGTTGTATGTATATTTTTAACGGGAGCCTTTAAACAGGAGGACATCATGTAAATTGCCAGAGTATGGCAGAACTGCTTCCTGTGGCTTTGTTTCAGCAGCCAAGGTGAAAGGGAATGTCCCAGCTCAACATGAGCAGACTGCCTGGAGAAAGGAGCAGCAGCAGCCAAGTGGTGGCTCCTTGTGTCCCTGTGTGGGGATGGATCAAACAGTGAAGCTGTGAAGATGTGCCGAAGCAGTCCATTAAATTATCCTTTTTCCAGCCCTCCAGAACTGTTTACATGCTGTTTGCCCTGCCCTGTGTTACCCAGCAGCTCCACAAAGAAGGAAAAGGGGAGTCTTGTTGTTGGACAAAGTGATTGAAATCATAGTAGCACCCGAGGGTACTATGGAGCCACTGTTGTCTCTTTTCCCTGCACTGTTTGGAGGCCAGGTTGCTTTTTTTGCCTGTAAACAAAAAAAAAAGGCTCAGCTTAACCTGCACTTTTGACCTAAGATAGTTGTGCCAGGAGAAAATGAGGGTACGGGAGCACTGCTCTGAAGGGACTGGGTCCTTATCTCTGTGGCCACCTCAAAGTGAACACGTTTCTACCCTTCAAGACTGGATGGAGAGTTGGTTACTCTGATTTTTTTTCCCAAATAACCTTGTTAACAATGCACTGTAATTCCTTTGGACAGTTCCATAAAAAGACCAGCCCTGGACTCAGGAAACACACCAGAAACATGCTTGTGGACCACTATTTATGGGACACAGAAAGCCATCTGTGAGGGTTGCCTGCTTTGGTGGACCTGGTCCGTGTACAGAATTCATGTTGCATTTAGGGACCAGGAGAAAGGGAAAGAGAAGGTTTATCTTTTAAGGCAGTATAATATTTTTTTCCTTACGTAATTCTCCTTCACAGGTCTTGTTGGTTGGTTGGTTGATGCATTCTGGTAGTTGCAAGAATATGTCTTAGAACTCCATTGACTCCTGATGGGATACACCATGTATGTCTGAACCTCCATTCTCTGCTGGAAAACTCATCTCAGAATGTCTGTGCATAACAGGATACATTTATTTATAAAACAATAACAAAGAAGGATATTGTGTCTTAGAGGCCCTTAAGACAGAAGAACTTGGAGAGGCTTTTTGATTTGTTTTCTCTTGTGCTGCACTGAGTGTGAATGCAGGACTCTTTCATGAGTATTCCCATGGATTTATGTGAGGATTACCCATGAGTAAGCACTACAGATTGTGGTATCAGGTTTTATGGAGTTAAAGCTCTTAGACACAGGAGAACTTCACACTCAGGCTGGACAAGAGGAGCTGTGCTTCCTTGTGGGCAAAGCCTTGTAGCGGGTATTGCTTTGGTAATTAACAGATCTGTTAATATGGCGTGGAAAGAGATGAGAGAAATCAGATGGCAAATCCTGGCCAGCTCAGAACTGTTCTGAGGTAGCTTTAAAGAGACTTGCCAAAATGGGGATTAATTTATTCCTGGGATTTCACTTCTCTTGCTGTACCACCATCTTGGGGCATAAGTAAGCTGGGTAAATTTAAGGAGGACCAGAGCTCCCATTTAGTGCAGTGATGAGTGACTTTAAATTTCATGGATTTGGGAGCCCATTGACTGTGGTAGCGTGGCCAAGTGACCACAGTGCCTACTAATTAATTTGAATTTGTATTGCTGAGGACTTTGGAATTACGATGTCAGGCATTGCAATGATGTTGGTGTGGGAGAAGAAGAGGGAGATCTTGTCTTGGCTTTCTTCATGCTGCTGCTTATTTAATAAAGAGCCAAAAATAGTATTAGTAGGAAAATAGCAGACTTGGAAATATCCAGGGCAATACTGCCCTACAGCAGCAATTTTAAAGTCTTAAATGTTTGACAATAGATGAACATCAGACTTGTTCCCATTAACAATGTTGCACATGTGGGGTTTAAAACTATTTTGCTCTATTCACCTTTGTTGGAACGGTTTATGAACGAGGACAGTTGTACCAGTTATTTAAAACGGAAAACTACAACAGAAAACCATTTTAAAACTCAAATCTTCCTCATCAAAGTCTTTACTCTGTCCCTCAGCAGCATAGTCAGGCCATCAGCCTGACATAACTGAAGTGATTCCAAGTGTCCCAAGTTAAACTAATGCCCTGTTATGGAAGAAGCATCCCTGGAAATGGAAGTACCATGAATTTTCCTTCCGAAGTAAGGAACTACAGTGATTGCACAGTTGGCAAAAAGCAAGCAAGAAAATAAAACAATGATTGCATGGATTTTTTTTTTTTCCATTTCTGCAGTGCAGAAGGTATAGGATGTATTATATTATTATTATTATTATTATTATTATTATTATTATTATTATTATTAT